TAAGGAGAGTGGGGATGCAAACATAAGGAGAGTGGGGATGCAAACATAAGGAGAGTGGGGATGCAAACATAAGGAGAGTGGGGATGCAAACATAAGGAGAGTGGGGATGCAAACATAAGGAGAGTGGGGATGCAAACATAAGGAGAGTGGGGATGCAAACATAAGGAGAGTGGGGATGCAAACATAAGGAGAGTGGGGATGCAAACATAAGGAGAGTGGGGATGCAAACATAAGGAGAGTGGGGATGCAAACATAAGGAGAGTGGGGATGCAAACATAAGGAGAGTGGGGATGCAAACATAAGGAGAGTGGGGATGCAAACATAAGGAGAGTGGGGATGCAAACATAAGGAGAGTGGGGATGCAAACATAAGGAGAGTGGGGATGCAAACATAAGGAGAGTGGGGATGCAAACATAAGGAGAGTGGGGATGCAAACATAAGGAGAGTGGGGATGCAAACATAAGGAGAGTGGGGATGCAAACATAAGGAGAGTGGGGATGCAAACATAAGGAGAGTGGGGATGCAAACATAAGGAGAGTGGGGATGCAAACATAAGGAGAGTGGGGATGCAAACATAAGGAGAGTGGGGATGCAAACATAAGGAGAGTGGGGATGCAAACATAAGGAGAGTGGGGATGCAAACATAAGGAGAGTGGGGATGCAAACATAAGGAGAGTGGGGATGCAAACATAAGGAGAGTGGGGATGCAAACATAAGGAGAGTGGGGATGCAAACATAAGGAGAGTGGGGATGCAAACATAAGGAGAGTGGGGATGCAAACATAAGGAGAGTGGGGATGCAAACATAAGGAGAGTGGGGATGCAAACATAAGGAGAGTGGGGATGCAAACATAAGGAGAGTGGGGATGCAAACATAAGGAGAGTGGGGATGCAAACATAAGGAGAGTGGGGATGCAAACATAAGGAGAGTGGGGATGCAAACATAAGGAGAGTGGGGATGCAAACATAAGGAGAGTGGGGATGCAAACATAAGGAGAGTGGGGATGCAAACATAAGGAGAGTGGGGATGCAAACATAAGGAGAGTGGGGATGCAAACATAAGGAGAGTGGGGATGCAAACATAAGGAGAGTGGGGATGCAAACATAAGGAGAGTGGGGATGCAAACATAAGGAGAGTGGGGATGCAAACATAAGGAGAGTGGGGATGCAAACATAAGGAGAGTGGGGATGCAAACATAAGGAGAGTGGGGATGCAAACATAAGGAGAGTGGGGATGCAAACATAAGGAGAGTGGGGATGCAAACATAAGGAGAGTGGGGATGCAAACATAAGGAGAGTGGGGATGCAAACATAAGGAGAGTGGGGATGCAAACATAAGGAGAGTGGGGATGCAAACATAAGGAGAGTGGGGATGCAAACATAAGGAGAGTGGGGATGCAAACATAAGGAGAGTGGGGATGCAAACATAAGGAGAGTGGGGATGCAAACATAAGGAGAGTGGGGATGCAAACATAAGGAGAGTGGGGATGCAAACATAAGGAGAGTGGGGATGCAAACATAAGGAGAGTGGGGATGCAAACATAAGGAGAGTGGGGATGCAAACATAAGGAGAGTGGGGATGCAAACATAAGGAGAGTGGGGATGCAAACATAAGGAGAGTGGGGATGCAAACATAAGGAGAGTGGGGATGCAAACATAAGGAGAGTGGGGATGCAAACATAAGGAGAGTGGGGATGCAAACATAAGGAGAGTGGGGATGCAAACATAAGGAGAGTGGGGATGCAAACATAAGGAGAGTGGGGATGCAAACATAAGGAGAGTGGGGATGCAAACATAAGGAGAGTGGGGATGCAAACATAAGGAGAGTGGGGATGCAAACATAAGGAGAGTGGGGATGCAAACATAAGGAGAGTGGGGATGCAAACATAAGGAGAGTGGGGATGCAAACATAAGGAGAGTGGGGATGCAAACATAAGGAGAGTGGGGATGCAAACATAAGGAGAGTGGGGATGCAAACATAAGGAGAGTGGGGATGCAAACATAAGGAGAGTGGGGATGCAAACATAAGGAGAGTGGGGATGCAAACATAAGGAGAGTGGGGATGCAAACATAAGGAGAGTGGGGATGCAAACATAAGGAGAGTGGGGATGCAAACATAAGGAGAGTGGGGATGCAAACATAAGGAGAGTGGGGATGCAAACATAAGGAGAGTGGGGATGCAAACATAAGGAGAGTGGGGATGCAAACATAAGGAGAGTGGGGATGCAAACATAAGGAGAGTGGGGATGCAAACATAAGGAGAGTGGGGATGCAAACATAAGGAGAGTGGGGATGCAAACATAAGGAGAGTGGGGATGCAAACATAAGGAGAGTGGGGATGCAAACATAAGGAGAGTGGGGATGCAAACATAAGGAGAGTGGGGATGCAAACATAAGGAGAGTGGGGATGCAAACATAAGGAGAGTGGGGATGCAAACATAAGGAGAGTGGGGATGCAAACATAAGGAGAGTGGGGATGCAAACATAAGGAGAGTGGGGATGCAAACATAAGGAGAGTGGGGATGCAAACATAAGGAGAGTGGGGATGCAAACATAAGGAGAGTGGGGATGCAAACATAAGGAGAGTGGGGATGCAAACATAAGGAGAGTGGGGATGCAAACATAAGGAGAGTGGGGATGCAAACATAAGGAGAGTGGGGATGCAAACATAAGGAGAGTGGGGATGCAAACATAAGGAGAGTGGGGATGCAAACATAAGGAGAGTGGGGATGCAAACATAAGGAGAGTGGGGATGCAAACATAAGGAGAGTGGGGATGCAAACATAAGGAGAGTGGGGATGCAAACATAAGGAGAGTGGGGATGCAAACATAAGGAGAGTGGGGATGCAAACATAAGGAGAGTGGGGATGCAAACATAAGGAGAGTGGGGATGCAAACATAAGGAGAGTGGGGATGCAAACATAAGGAGAGTGGGGATGCAAACATAAGGAGAGTGGGGATGCAAACATAAGGAGAGTGGGGATGCAAACATAAGGAGAGTGGGGATGCAAACATAAGGAGAGTGGGGATGCAAACATAAGGAGAGTGGGGATGCAAACATAAGGAGAGTGGGGATGCAAACATAAGGAGAGTGGGGATGCAAACATAAGGAGAGTGGGGATGCAAACATAAGGAGAGTGGGGATGCAAACATAAGGAGAGTGGGGATGCAAACATAAGGAGAGTGGGGATGCAAACATAAGGAGAGTGGGGATGCAAACATAAGGAGAGTGGGGATGCAAACATAAGGAGAGTGGGGATGCAAACATAAGGAGAGTGGGGATGCAAACATAAGGAGAGTGGGGATGCAAACATAAGGAGAGTGGGGATGCAAACATAAGGAGAGTGGGGATGCAAACATAAGGAGAGTGGGGATGCAAACATAAGGAGAGTGGGGATGCAAACATAAGGAGAGTGGGGATGCAAACATAAGGAGAGTGGGGATGCAAACATAAGGAGAGTGGGGATGCAAACATAAGGAGAGTGGGGATGCAAACATAAGGAGAGTGGGGATGCAAACATAAGGAGAGTGGGGATGCAAACATAAGGAGAGTGGGGATGCAAACATAAGGAGAGTGGGGATGCAAACATAAGGAGAGTGGGGATGCAAACATAAGGAGAGTGGGGATGCAAACATAAGGAGAGTGGGGATGCAAACATAAGGAGAGTGGGGATGCAAACATAAGGAGAGTGGGGATGCAAACATAAGGAGAGTGGGGATGCAAACATAAGGAGAGTGGGGATGCAAACATAAGGAGAGTGGGGATGCAAACATAAGGAGAGTGGGGATGCAAACATAAGGAGAGTGGGGATGCAAACATAAGGAGAGTGGGGATGCAAACATAAGGAGAGTGGGGATGCAAACATAAGGAGAGTGGGGATGCAAACATAAGGAGAGTGGGGATGCAAACATAAGGAGAGTGGGGATGCAAACATAAGGAGAGTGGGGATGCAAACATAAGGAGAGTGGGGATGCAAACATAAGGAGAGTGGGGATGCAAACATAAGGAGAGTGGGGATGCAAACATAAGGAGAGTGGGGATGCAAACATAAGGAGAGTGGGGATGCAAACATAAGGAGAGTGGGGATGCAAACATAAGGAGAGTGGGGATGCAAACATAAGGAGAGTGGGGATGCAAACATAAGGAGAGTGGGGATGCAAACATAAGGAGAGTGGGGATGCAAACATAAGGAGAGTGGGGATGCAAACATAAGGAGAGTGGGGATGCAAACATAAGGAGAGTGGGGATGCAAACATAAGGAGAGTGGGGATGCAAACATAAGGAGAGTGGGGATGCAAACATAAGGAGAGTGGGGATGCAAACATAAGGAGAGTGGGGATGCAAACATAAGGAGAGTGGGGATGCAAACATAAGGAGAGTGGGGATGCAAACATAAGGAGAGTGGGGATGCAAACATAAGGAGAGTGGGGATGCAAACATAAGGAGAGTGGGGATGCAAACATAAGGAGAGTGGGGATGCAAACATAAGGAGAGTGGGGATGCAAACATAAGGAGAGTGGGGATGCAAACATAAGGAGAGTGGGGATGCAAACATAAGGAGAGTGGGGATGCAAACATAAGGAGAGTGGGGATGCAAACATAAGGAGAGTGGGGATGCAAACATAAGGAGAGTGGGGATGCAAACATAAGGAGAGTGGGGATGCAAACATAAGGAGAGTGGGGATGCAAACATAAGGAGAGTGGGGATTTTGCGGATGCGGATTAGGAGAGAGCCGTGCTGCTGTTAAACTGCAAATATACTCAATGAAATCAACCGCATCCAACCGCATTCCAACCAAATCTCAGACCATTGCCATAGCACTCACCTCCTTGGGCGGACGATTTTCATGGGGATATATGCGCACCCCCGCCTTGCACGAGTGGGCCACGTTGCTGTCGAACCGGCCCTTAATATACTCAGTGAAGTGGACCACAGCTAACCGTAATGTACCACATTTCATTGCACCCCACCGCAGCTCACCGCATTGAACCACACTCACCTCCTTGGGCGGCCGGTTCCCATGGGGATACATCCGAACCCCAGCCTTGCACGAGTGGGCCACGTTGCTGTCAAACCGGCCGAACGAATCGAAGAAAGGCATGGGGGTGTCGCCCAGGTCAAGCCTTTTCGAGGCTCCCCTCATGCGAGCCAGCATCTCGTACCAGAAGCTGGTGAGTGGGGAGAGGCGTTGAGGGAGGGGAGGCGGGGAGGGGACAGGGCATGTATAAGGGAGAGAGGGAGGTGCATATGGTACGAGTCAAAGAAGGGCATGGGGGTGTCACCCAGGTCAAGCTTCTTGGAAGCTCCCCTCATTCTAGCGAGCATTTCGTACCAGAAGCTGGTGGGTGGGAGGCGGTGCGGACAGGGAGAGAAGGAGAAGAAGAAGGGCATGGGGGTGTCGCCTAGGTCAAGCCTCTTGGAGGCGCCTCTCATTCTAGCCAGCATCTCGTACCAGAAGCTGTTGGTGGGGAGATGGGGGGTGGTTGGGAAGGGAGAGATTGAGGGGAGTTGGAGAGGGGTGAGAGGGAGGGGGAGGTGGGGCGTGGCGTGGCAGGAGTCAAAGAAGGGCATGGGGGTGTCGCCCAGGTCAACCCTTTTCGAGGCTCCCCTCATTCTAGCCAGCATCTCGTACCAAAAGCTGGTGAGGTTAGGAAACGAATAAGGGGGAGAGGGAGGAGGGGCATGGTAGGGGTCAAAGAACGGTATGGGGGCTATCACTGTCGCGGCCGTCCACCGCCCTGTATTGTCACACCCACCCTGTATTGTCACGTCCGAGCTCTGACATACACACAAAAACACCCACCCTAGATAAGGACAACTGGCATCTCATACAGTCACACTCACCCACCCTGTATTGTCACACCCACCCTGTATTGTCACACCCACCCTGTATTGTCACACCCACCCTGTGTTGTCACACCCACCCTGTGTTGTCACATCCAGCCGCCACGTTGCCAATCAGATCGTGGGCTGGCCATCCAGAACGTGGTGGCCTGGTTGTCCGTCTGCCTACAGTCACACCTTGCATAGAGTCACACCCACCCACCCACCTGGTATTGTCACACCCAGCCGCCACGTTGCCGATTAAATCATTCCGCGGGCTGAATCCAAAAGGTGGTGGCCTGGTTGTCCGACTGCCTGTCTTCCTATACAGTGACACACCCACACACACACACACCCTGTATTGTCACAACCAATCTGTATTGTTACACCCACCCTGTATTGTCACATCCAGCCGCCACATTCCCTATAAGGTCGTTACGAGGGCTGGCCATCCAAAAGGTGGTGGCCTGGTTGTCTGTTTGTCTGTCCAGTCTGTCTGACGTCTCTGGAGGAATCACCTTGCGCACTGGTGGGAGATGTGAGACAGAGGGCGGAGGGTTGGGAAAGACAGGAGGGAAAAAGCATCAAGGGCCGGCCATCCAGAACGTGGTGGCCTGGTTGTCCGTCTGCCTGTCCAGGCGATCACTAGTCTCAGGAGGAATCACCTTGCGCACTGGTGGGAAGGAGGGAGGGAGACAGAAGGTGGAGGGGGCAGGTAAGAAAGTCAGGAGGGGCAAAATGCGCCATCCAGAAGAAGGGGAGTCAAGAGGGAATGCGCCATCCAGAAGAGGATACAGAGGAGGAGAATGCAAGGAACCTTTAGCCATCTAGAACGCGGTGGCCTGGTTGTCCGTCGGAAGTTTTAGGGGGAATCGCCTTGCGTGTGAACACGTTGAATACTCGCTGCTCTCCTCTGTCTGGAAGCAAGCAGTGCCCATGTTAGTCTCTCTCAACTACGCCTCACCCCTCTCAACCGCATCTCACCTCCTCTGATGTTGATGCCCAGGTTGCGTTTAAACACGTTGTTAAACTCGCTGCCCTCCTCCGTGATAAAGCAGTGCCCCTTGGTCTCATATGCCACATTCTCCTCTATCGTCGCATTTGAGGTGGCATGGATAACCACACAGCGCTGCAATGAGGGAGAGTGGAAACAGAGACAAGCAAGGGTAAGGAGGATAGGAGTCAAGCAGCGCCCTCTGTTATAAAGCAGTGCCCCTTGGTTTCAAACTCCACGTTCTCCTCTATCGTCACATTTGAGGTGGCATGGATAACCACACAGCACTGCTTTATAACGGAGGAGGGCAGCGATCACGTTCTTCCTAACGACGTTTGCCTGATTGGTGTCGCCACAGATGTGGAAATGCAGTGCAGGGGGTAGCGCCCCAGCAACCCAGGAGGTGGTATGGCCTAACCTAAGCACCGTAACTCTCAATTGTACATCTTCATACCTGGTTGCTCGCAGCAATCACATTCTTCCTAACGACGTTTGCCTGACTGGTGTCGCCACAAATGTGGAAATGCAGTGCAGGGGGTAGCGCCCCAGCACATGCTGAGGTGGTTACTACCACTGGTAACCTTTAGAAGCATAGACCCTCATCCACACACCTGGTTGCTCGCAGCAATCACGTTCTTCCTAACAACGTTTGCCTGATTGGTGTCGCCACAGATGTGGAAATGCAGAGGGTATCGCCCCAGCGTGCCCTGGTTGCCGAGGCCCAGGAATTGCACTCCTTCGATGAACTGCGGCGTTTTTGTCATAAACACCATGAAGTGACCGCCTGTAGAGGGGACAGAGGGGAAAAGATAAGTAAGTGAGGGATAAAGAGAGGAGAGGGTAAGTGCAGTGCAGGGGGAGGGTATCGCCCCAGCGTGCCTTGATTGCCCAGCCCCAGGAATTGCACCCCCTCAATAAATTGTGGCGTTTTGGTCATAAACACCATGAAGTGACCACCTATTGATGGGATGCAGGAGGAGGGAAGGAGGGAAGTGAGCCCCAATGCACGCCCCGTTTGCCAAGCCCCAGGAACTGAACCAACACGATGAATTGGGGCGTTTTGTCATGAACACCATGAAGTGACCGCCTGTAGAGGGGGTATAGTGGGGAACAGGGGAATGATAAGGAGCAGGGAGGGGAGGAGAGAAGTGAGGGTAGCGCCCCAACACGCCCTGGTTGCCCAGGCCCAGGAACTGAACTCCCTCGATGAATTGGGGCGTTTTCGTCATGAACACCATGAAGTGACCGCCTTTAAAGGGTATGCAGGAGGAACGGTAAAGGGGAACAAAGGGAGGGAAGGAGGGAAGTGAATGCAGCGCCCCAGCGAGCCCTGGTCGCCCAGCCCCAGGAACTGAACCCCCTCAATGAATCGGGGCGTTTTTGTCATAACCACCATGAAGTGACCGCCTGTAGAGAGGATATAGTGGGGAACAGGGGAATGGTAAGGAGCATGGAGAGAAGGAGGAGAGAAGTGAGGGTAACGCTCCCAGGAGGAGCGTGCCCAGGTTGCCCAGGCCCGTTTTTGAGTCGACTCAAAAGGTGACTTATGAGTCGACTCAGAAGTGAGGGTAACACTCCCAGAAGGAGCGTGCCTTGGTTGCCCAGGCCCAGGAACTGAACCTCCTCGATGAATCGGGGCATGAACGTCATAACCACCATGAAGCGACCGGCTGTAAAAAGCGGAGAAAAGGGAGGAAGGGGATCAAATGCAGTGGACATCGCCGTATGAGGGATCATGTTTGTGAGGTTAACAGTACGGTTCACTCCAAAACCACAGTCAGAACCAACAAAGCAGAGAAGAAAGCTTTCAGGCTCGTTCGCTTTCTCCATTGTTGCACTGAGTTGGCTTTTGAGTCGACTCCAAAGTCTAATTGAAATACTTGAAAGAACCAATCAAGTATTGTCACTTTATAATCGTTGCCTCCTCTTAGCTGAGAGTGATTGCTTACCATCTGTGTCGTAGGGTGCTTTCTCCTTCAACCCCCGGATGATGATATTCCGGTCCAAAAGGGCAACTTCCCCTCGAATATCCACTGTACCCCCGACTCCATCAGGGGTGCCTTGAAGAGTACCCTCATGGCGGAACCTAAGAGGCTTGGCCAAGCCGACATAGAAGCCCCCACCTGACGGCATGGGAGCGACTGTGATTGTAGAAGGGGAAAGAAAACAAAAGAAAAGAAATAAGAAAGAAATAGAAAGAGGTGGTTACAAGAGACACCATCAAACAAAGCGTAAGCAGAGTGTATATACTCGATATAATCACACTCACCATAAGTAATCACCCCGGTCTCGGCTTCATTCATGTTCGCACTAGTGGACGCAACCGCTACAGTGCCGCCGACCGGCCACTGAGTGACATCGCCGTCCACCACCACAAACTTATCCCCGGGTGCCACTGTCCTTGCCAGGCGCACCCACGCAGGCGCAGAGGAGGAGCCTGGCATGCCGTGTAAGTCCACTGCGCCTCCCACCTGGTCAGCGAGGTGAAAGGGAGAGGAACATACAACACGGGTTAGTGAATGACGCTGTGCTATCACCATCAACCCGGGCGCCACTGTCCTTGCCAGGCGCACCCACGCAGGGGCAGAGGAGGAGCCTGGCATGCCATGTAGGTCCACTGCGCCTCCCACCTGGTTGGTTATCAAGGGATGAGAGGGTTGAAAGGAAGAGCAGCACACAGAGGCCAGTGAGTGCTACTGTGGTATCACCATCCCCCGGAGCCACCGTCCTTGCCAGGCGCACCCACGCGGGGGCAGAGGAGGAACCGGGCGTGTGAAGAGAGCGAGACGGGTGAAGGGAAAAGGGAGAAAGGGAGGGAGCAGCCGTACCACAGGGAGAGAGAAGGAGAGACGAGAGAAGGAAGGGCTGCACAAGCAACAAAGCACAAGGAAGCGAGGAGGAGAGCAACGTACCACGATGAAGGCCTTGTGGCCGAGGTTGCGGGGGTTCAAAGGGTCGGCTGGAGCAAGGTCGGTGAGCGAGTAGTTGGCGCGCGAGGGGGAGGGGAGGAGGGTGAAGATGGCGAGTCGGGTGAAGGGAGGAAAGGAGGGAGGGCCCCCAACACAAGGAGAGATAGAGAGAAGGAGAGAAGTGAGAGAGAGGAGGAAAAACGTACCACGATGAACGCCTTGTGACCTAGGTTCCTTTGGTAAAGGGGTTCGGCTGGAGCAAGGTCGGTGAGCGTGTATTCGACACGCGAGGGGGAGGGGAGGAGGGTGAAGATGGCGAGGCGGCTAAAGGGCGTTGCAGTGGAGCCGACTGAGAGGCGGCCTTGAACGATGATGAAGGCTGCTTGCACCTCGACGGTTGGGAGGGATGGTGAGTCGAGGACCCTGTTGGGTGGAGTGGGCGAAGGAAATGGGTGTGCATGCACAGAGAAGGGAAGGGAAGGGCGTTGCAGTGGAGCCCACTGAGAGGCGGCCTTGAACGATGATGAAGGCTGCTTGCACCTCGACGGTTGGGAGAGTTGGCGAGTCGAGGACCCTGGTTTAGTGCAGTGGAGGGAGAGAGGGAGACAAAGGGTCGGCTGGAGCAAGGTCGGTGAGCAAGTAGTTGGCGCGAGAGGGGGAGGGGAGGAGGGTGAAGATGGCGAGTCAGCTAAAGGGCGTTGCAGCGGTGCCGACTGAGAGGCGGCCTTGAACGATGATGAAGGCTGCTTCCACCTCTATGGTTGGGAGAGTTGGGGAATCCTGAACCGTGGTTGGAGTGCAGGCAGGGAGAGAGACAAGAGCACACACACAGAGGAGGGAGGGATGAAAGGAAGGGCGTTGCAGTGGTGCCGACTGAGAGGCGGCCTTGAACGATGATGAAGGCTGCTTGCACTTCCATGGTTGGGAGAGATGGTGAGTCCTGCACCCTGGTTGGATGGAGTGAAGGCAGGAACAGAGACACGTGCACACACAGGAGGGAGAGGGGAAGGGCGTTGCAGTGGAGCCCACTGAGAGGCGGCCTTGAACGATGATGAAGGCCGCTTGCACCTCAACGGTTGGGAGAGTTGGGGAATCCTGTACCCTGTTGGAGGGAGAAGGGAAGGAGAAGGTGCAGGGATGGAAAGGAAGGGCGTTGCAGTGGTGCCAGCGGAGAGGCGGCCTTGAACGATGATGAAGGCTGCTTGCACCTCAATGGTTGGGAGGGACGGTGAATCCTGTACCCTGTTGGAGTACAGGCGGGGAGAGAGACACAAAGACCACTACTGAGAATTCTCGTATGTGATTCCAACGCAAGTGCCGACACGACAGAGAAGCGGCCTTGGACCATGGACGATGATGACGGCTGCTTGACTAGATAGGAACATTTTACACAACAGGCGTAGGGACCTACCTACCGTACCTGAGCCATCCCTTGACCACAAGCGTGCTGAGGCTCACTAGAGGCACATCCAGCAGCACACACATGCACACAAACACATATGTAGGCACACGCACACACACACACACACACACACACACACACACACACACACACACACACACATACAGACACGATTCACATGCAGCCATACCTGAGCCATCCCTTGATCACGAGCGTGCTCAGGCTCACTAGAGGCACGTCCAGCAGCACGGCCGTCCCGCACGGTACAGTCACACATGACTTGAATGGAATGGACCATATAACACAGCAGGCATAGAGCTGAAGCTTACCTGAGCCATCCCTTGATCGCGAGCGTGCTCAGGCTCACTAGAGGCACATCCAGCAGCACGGCCGTGACCCGTCCCACGTGGTATGGTCACACACAAAACCAGCCGTGTGACTCTTTGTACCTGAGCCATCCCTTGACCACGAGCGTGCTGAGGCTCACTAGAGGCACGTCCAGCAGCACGGCCGTACCGCACGGTATAGTCACACATGACTATGAGTAGGGCTCTACCGTACCTGAGCCATCCCTTGACCACGAGCGTGCTGAGGCTCACTAGAGGCACGTCCAGCAGCACGGCCGTACCGCACGGTATAGTCACACATGACTATGAGTAGGGCTCTACCGTACCTGAGCCATCCCTTGACCACGAGCGTGCTGAGGCTCACTAGAGGCACGTCCAGCAGCACGGCCGTACCGCACGGTATAGTCACACATGACTATGAGTAGGGCTCTACCGTACCTGAGCCATCCCTTGACCACGAGCGTGCTGAGGCTCACTAGAGGCACGTCCAGCAGCACGGCCGTACCGCACGGTATAGTCACACATGACTATGAGTAGGGCTCTACCGTACCTGAGCCATCCCTTGACCACGAGCGTGCTGAGGCTCACTAGAGGCACGTCCAGCAGCACGGCCGTACCGCACGGTATAGTCACACATGACTATGAGTAGGGCTCTACCGTACCTGAGCCATCCCTTGACCACGAGCGTGCTGAGGCTCACTAGAGGCACGTCCAGCAGCACGGCCGTACCGCACGGTATAGTCACACATGACTATGAGTAGGGCTCTACCGTACCTGAGCCATCCCTTGACCACGAGCGTGCTGAGGCTCACTAGAGGCACGTCCAGCAGCACGGCCGTACCGCACGGTATAGTCACACATGACTATGAGTAGGGCTCTACCGTACCTGAGCCATCCCTTGACCACGAGCGTGCTGAGGCTCACTAGAGGCACGTCCAGCAGCACGGCCGTACCGCACGGTATAGTCACACATGACTATGAGTAGGGCTCTACCGTACCTGAGCCATCCCTTGACCACGAGCGTGCTGAGGCTCACTAGAGGCACGTCCAGCAGCACGGCCGTACCGCACGGTATAGTCACATTCGCCCACTCGCCCCCCGTGGCCTTCACTCCGGGAATCACGGAGCCGCCACCATTGGTCCACGTGGCAGGGTCGCTCCACCGCTTCCAGCCTGGCAGATTTTTATATCAAAACGGGATTGGAAAACAGAAAAAGAAAATGCAAAAGGACAGAGCGGGAGAGCGGAGGGGAGGAGGGAAGGATGGAAGGGAGGAGGGTAAGGGAAATGAGGGGAGGAAGGCAGGGCAGGGAGGGGAACGGAGGAGAGGGAAGGGACGTGCGGACGGGACCTATACTTCTGTACCGCGTGGGGGGGGGACCGTGTGGCGCGGGAGGGGATGTACCGCGCTGTAGGGGAGTGGTGGGGGGAGGGGGGAAGTGGGGTGAAGGGTGCGGGGAAGGGGGAGGGGGTGGAGGAGGGGGAGGGGGGAGGGGGGGGGGGGGGGGGGGGGGGGGGGGGGGAAGACTCCTTCTTTTGGGGAGAGACTCCTCCCTTTGGGGATGGACGGTCGTACCTTGCGGGGAGGGCGGTACCTTACGATTGAAGGCGGTACCTTGCGGGGGAGACTCCTCCCTTTGGCGGAGTGAAGGACGGCCGTACCTTGCGGGGGAGGGTCGGGCAGGAAGGGGCACGGCGGCTGGTACGAGTCATACACGCTGAACGGCGTAGCACCGACTTGCACCGATCCGAATCCCCCGAACGACGCGAGCGCTAGCAAAACGAGCGGAAAGAGCGGCGCAGCGGCCGTGAGGACGTGTCGTGATTGGCGGGCGCGGGGAGAGCGTAGCGCCGGCGGAAGCCGTCGCCCGTGCATGGCGCGCAGGATGGCGGAACTGGCGGAACTGGCGAGGGGATCTGCTCACGGAACGGTTGGCTTATCGCAGGGAGACTGGAAGTGGTCGCGAGTTAGCGAGCGAGGCGCGAGCGAGGTGTCCCCTGGCAGAGTTGTAGCGGCGGGTGTCTCTGCGGCGGAGAACGGTACTACGCGATGGTGAGGGATGATGCGCGGAGATTATTGTGGTGTCGGGAGAGCGAGCGGACGCGGGACGAACGGTGCTACGACTCAGGCGTTGATGGCGCGACTCGGGAAAGTGTGGCGGAGAACGGTACAGCGCGATGGGGAGAGTGACGCGGGGAATGACGCGGAACGCGGTGGAATGACGGGGGGAATGATTCGGAACGCGGAGAATGATGCGGGGAATGACGCGGAACGCGGATGACGGGAGGAATGTCGCGGAGATGGATTCCGTCCGGCCTAACGCGTGCGTAACGCGGTAGTTAGTAGCAAGTATTCCTCCCAAAATATATGATTACAGGAGCCCAGGCCAGGCCAGAACGCGAATCTCAAGGCGCCTCGACAACACTAATCGGAGTTGCGACCGGCAAGCGAGGCGACAAAGCGAGGATTATGTACACCAATAAAAATTCACGCGGCACTGGATTCGTACTCAGGAGGACTCGCCTCGATGGGTGCTTGTAAGAGTAACTCGCCAGAGATATAATCCCTGGGACTATGCCATGAGTAACGAGTCAGAGGTGAGGGGGAGTCACCAAACAGGAGTTAGTCCAAGGAGTTCCTCTTGCTTTGGACGGCAAGAGTTGTTGGGTTTGGTGACTCTGAGGCAGGTGGGACTGACAGGAGTACTGTGAGGTACAGTAAGTTTCAACAAGTAGACAGTATGGTGAATAAGTTTGGAGCTGGGTGAGTAGGTTTGTCTACCGTAATTCACCATCCGTCTTGAATAAGGCAAAGAGGGGGCAAAGACACCCCCCACGACAGGTTTGTGCTGCTTCGTGACGATTCGTCCCCACCACTCGAGCCAGAGTGAATGCGGTGCAGCACGATCTAGTATGGCTGAATTGATGGCTGGGTGGGTGTACAATTACTGTACACGAGCCGCTCATCTGTTTCCACTCGGTGTTTTTCCACAAAATTCTCCCGCCTGCCGCTGTTTATGTCATTGACTCGGCGCGCATGTCCTTCCTCAGCCTGAGGTGTGTGTGTGGTTGGTGGTGCGGCGCGTCGGTAGAATCAAGAACCAAGGACATGAAGGTGTTGCGAGAACCAAGAGAGAGCATGTGGGAAGGGGGGGAACGGGGAAGGCTTGTTTCATGACAAGGCCTTTCATCAAGCGCGAAGGAAGCTTGACGGCGAGTCCTGCCCGTTCGTCTCAGTTCGTTCTGTGCGGTAACCCTTGTTGCATCACGGTGCATAACGGTGAAGCTGATAACCGCTGTGCACCGTCTGGAACCGTCTTGAATGGCCGACTTGTGAAGGACGCAGCCCAGAGATGGTGTTCGGTGGACGGGACAGAGGGTTACCGATTCTGAAAATTAAAGCTCCTAGAAAGGACATGTCGATGTAGTATAATGGTCAGTATCTCCGCCTGTCACGCGGAAGATCCGGGTTCGATCCCCGGCATCGGCGCGGTTTTCGTGAAAGATTAATCACGAGAAGGTGCTCTGGCCTGGGGCACTCGCGTCGGGCAGGGAATCAAATGTGAATTTCAGAACTGGAGCCTCTCATTTATGAGTCCATACATTCTTTGTCCCACGTTCGTTTTTGCAAGGATCTAGGTCGTCGATACCCGTGAAGACTGAAAGGTTGGTTTCCGTTCTCCCGATTTCAGATGAATGTCTGTTGCGGCTATGTGAATTCTCAGGGCTACGATAGTAGTTATCATAGATAGCGCGCTGCGTGGAGCCCGAATCCAGTCGATCTCGTTACAATCCGGTTGTTTTTCCTTAGAGCCACTACGAGATCCGAATCTTCCCAAATCTTCCTACATCTTGCTAGCATATACTCTCTCCGATCTTTGGATGTTTGTCTTTGCAAGAACAATACGATGTCGACGCGTTTTCGTTTCTCGTCTAGTTTTTCCTCATTGTTCCGAACCGAAATCCAGCGCGTATAACTTTCACCTCTTATCTGCGGATTTCAAGCCCGTTCGATTTGTTCACGAATTCTAGCCCATATGTTTCGTTTTTGATTCATCTAATATTCTCTTACATGTTGCTTCTTGCAGAGACGCCATGGCCCCTCCTTCCCAGCGGCCCCTCCACCTCCTCCTGTTCCACCTCTTCTCCCTCCTCCTCCTCCTCTTCGCTCCAGTGCACGTGGCAGCCAGCGGCGGGGTGACGTTCCAGGCGATTCTGGAAGAGGCACGTGGCAGCAACGGATTGGCCATGGTGCTGGGTCTGCGGAGAGCGCTTCACGAGATTCCCGAGCTCATGTTCCGCGAATTCCGGACGAGCGCCATGGTTCAGGAGACGCTGGCGTCCTTGGGAATACCGTTCCAGAACAACTTCGCAGGAACCACGGGTGAGAGCCGCTTTTAACGGGTACTTATTAAAGCTTACAACGGGTACATTTGAGATTAGGAAGAGCGTCATGGTTCAGCAGACGTTGGCGTCCTTGGGAATAGTACCGTTCCAGGCCAACTTCTCAGGAACCACAGGTTAGATGGTCCTTATCGGCAGTGGAACTCATCGGGACTCTGCAAGCGGACATGGACGCGCTACCCATCACTGAAGAAACAGACGTGCCGTTCAAGTCGTGCCACCCCGGTGCCATGCACGCATGCCCCTTGTGTTGACTGCAGGTGTGGTAGCAACCATCGGCACCGGTGAAGATCCGATAGTGGCATTGCGGGCGGACATGGACGCTTTACCTATTACTGAGGAAACAGACGTGCCGTTCAAGTCGCGCCATCCCGGTGCCATGCACGCATGCGACCACAACGCCCACACCGCCATGCTGCTCGCTCAAGAACCCACTTTCCCTCCACGCCTTTATCTCCCTCCCTCTCCCCCTCCCCTTACCCTCTCTCACTCCCACTCCCTACTCTCTGGCCTCCATCCATTTCTCCAGGCGTGGTAGCAACCATTGGCATGGGCGAAAGTCCAGTAGTGGCATTGCGGGCGGACATGGACGCTTTACGTATTACTGAAGAGACGGACGTGCCATTCAAGTCGCGCCATCCCGGTGCCATGCATGCATGCGACCACAACGCCCACACCGCCATGCTGCTCGCTCACGGACCCACTCCTCCCCCCCCTTCTCTCTCCCTCTCCCTCTCCCCTCTCTTCTCTCCCCTACCCCTCTATCACTCCCTGCTCTTTGGCCTCCTTCCAATTCTCCAGGTGTGGTAGCAACCATCGGCACGGGTGAAGGCCCAATTGTGGCCCTGCGAGCGGATATGGACGCTTTACCTATTACTGAGGAGACAGACGTGCCATTCAAGTCGCGTCATCCCGGTGCCATGCACGCATGCGGCCATGACGCCCACACCGCCATGCTGCTCGCCACTGCCCGAATTCTCCAGGAGCGCTCCCGGGCAGGTACAATTTTGTTGAGCCCATGTATCCAGCACGTATGCTCTGGCAATGTCTTTTTTTGTGGATGGTTTGACCAGGTGACTGTGTTTATGTGAAAATGTTGTGTTCTTTCTTTGTCATTGTTTTTCTCCGCCCCTTCCTTAGGTACCTTGGGTGGCACGGTTCATCTTATATTCCAGCCAGCTGAGGAAGGAGGGGCAGTTTTTGAGTCGACTCAAAAACAGGCTCATTGCTTTTCTCCGCCCCTTCCTTAGGTACCTTGGGTGGCACGGTTCGTCTTATCTTCCAGCCAGCAGAGGAAGGAGGGAGACTTTTGAGTCGACTCAAAAGTCACCTCGTTGTTGTCCCCGCCCTTCCCCAGGTACCTTGGGTGGCACGGTTCGTCTTATCTTCCAGCCAGCTGAGGAAGGAGGGGCAGGGGGGAAGCGCATGGTGGATGGGGGAGCTCTCAAGGGTGCGTCTGCTGCCTTCGCGCTGCACGTCTCACCTAAGGTAGAAAGTCTGTGTAATGTGCGAATGTGTTATGCATGCATACGTGCGTGTACGAATGTGTTATGCATGCGTACATATGTGCGTGGAAGGATGGCACGCAGATGGTGGATGGGGGGGCTCTCAAGGGCGCGTCTGCTGCCTTCGCCTTGCACGTCTCACCTAATGTGGGAAGTCTATGAATTCTAGTTATGTATAAACATTCGTATTTGTGATGAAAGGGTCACATGTTGAAGGAGGGGCTCTCTAGGGCGTGTAATGCAGGTGTTTCACACGAAGGAGTCAGGATGTGGAACCATAATGCGAATGATCTCGATGGTGGGGCACGTTGTATATAGAGCAACGGGTATAGATGATGAGCTGGAAAATTTAGACTAAAGAGGTGAATATGAAGTCAACAGGCAATTGGAGAGGTAACTACAAGCTTATGCCGGTCGTTTGTGCATGCCCTCGGAAAACAAGAGCGTTGTAGCTGGTGGCTTTCAACGATCTAACGATAGCAAAGGCAACAGCAAATGGTGCAAAGCAGTATAAAAAGAAGCAAATGCTGCAAATGTTGCAGTAGTGGTAGCATAAGAAGCTGCAGTTGCACAGTTTCTGTTTTTGCTGCTTGGGCTGCATTTGCTGCTGCCTTTGTTATCGTCAGATTGTTGAAAGTCACCAGCTACAACGTTCTTGTCATCTGAGTGCGCGCACATACGACTAACAGGAACTCTGTCGTCAGCTCTCCAATTGCCCTTAAACTTTCAATTCGCATCCTTAATCTCATTCCAACAGCTCATCATCTTGATTTTGTTGTTTCATATAAAACGTGTCACATCACCATCCGCTTTATCGTTCCAACACTTCTTAAAAGTTCGTTATAAGGTTGGGCCTCCTCAATGCCGCATGGTGGGGAAAGAGATGGGGACGTGCTTCAACTGCTGCCAGCTCGTTAAATTCTCTCGTTTCTCATCCATTATCTTTCCCTTCTCCCCTTTCAGATCCCAGCAGGCTATGTGGGCAGTCGCCCAGGCATGCTGCTAGCCGGGTCCGGTCGGTTTAACGCCACAGTGTGGGGCAAAGGGGGCCATGCAGCCATGCCTCAGTTCGCTGCAGACCCGATCCTCGCTGCTGCTCACATTGTCTCAAGGTGAGGTGATCGTGATAGGGTTGAACAGGTGGACCAGGGGCAACAGGGGGGCTGTTGCTGGCAGGGTCGGGTCGATTTAACGCCACAGTGTGGGGCAAGGGCAGCCATGCAGCCATGCCTCAGTTCGCAGCAGACCCCATCCTCGCTGCTGCTCACATCGTATCCAGGTAAGGTGAAGGTGATGCTAGCTCTATAAGACTCAGTTCGCAGTAGACCCCATCCTCGCTGCTGCTCACATCGTATCCAGGTAAGGTGAAGGTGATGCTAGCGCTATAAGACTCAGCTCACAGTAGACCCCATTCTTTGGGGGTCGGGTCGATTTAACGCCACAGTGTGGGGCAAAAGGCGGCCATGCAGCCATGCCTCAGTTTGCAGCAGACCCCATCCCCGCAGCTGCTCACATCGTGTCAAGGTACAGTGCTGACCCCTTTGCCTATCAGGTGCTCTCCGTGACTCAGTTCCACGGCGGCTCGGCAGACAGTGTCATCCCCGCCCCTCCTTTCCCCTTCTTGCCTCTGTCCCCCAGCCTCCAGGCCATCGTATTACGAGAGACCGATCCCTTTGCCTCGCGGGTGGTCTCAGTGACTCAATTCCACGGCGGCTCGGCCGACAATGTCATCCCCTCCCCTCCTCCCCTACTTCTCCCAGCCTCCAGGCCGTAGTATCACGAGACACCGACCCATTCGCCTCGCGGGTGGTTTCATTGACTCAGTTCCACGGTGGTTCAGCCGACAATGTCATCCCCGATACAGTCACGCTGCGCGGCACCCTTCTATGCTTCCACCTCTCAATCTAAGTCTGCTCACCTTCTCCCCTCCCCTCCTCACCTCCGTTTTCCCAGCCTCCAGGCAATTGTCTCTCGAGAGACCGACCCCTTTGCCTCGCGCGTTGTCTCAGTGACTCAATTCCACGGTGGTTCGGCCGATAATGTCATCCCCGATACAGTCACGCTGCGCGGCACTTACAGAGCCACCACTAAAGACGGGCTCGCTGACCTGGAACGGCGCATCGCTGACATCATCGACACGCAGGCGCGCGTGTTTGGATGCCGGGGAGAGGTGGACTATGGGATGATGGATGTCAACATGCAAGCTGATGCAGCAGAAGCAGCAGAAGCAGTGGAGGCAGGAGGAGCAGAAGGATTTTGCACGAACACAGCTGGCAACACGGCCCAAGGCTCCTGTACTGCCAACAGTGCCGGTGAACCTTCTTCCGAGCCTCTTCCCGACCCTCTCGGGTACGACTGGCCGCCGAAGCGCATCCCAGCCTACCCCCCCACGGTGAATGACGTCAGCATGCACGCGCTCGGCCGCGACGTGGTCCGGAAGCTTCTGGGAAGCTCCGCGTACCTGGATGTGGATCCGTGGATGGCTGGGGAGGATTTCTCCTTCTATCAGGAGGCTGTGCCTGGTGCCATGTTCTTCCTGGGAGTGGGGGCGTCTGGTGGTGATCATAACGCCACCACCACCACAACCAGCAACAGCCCGCCTCTGCATTCTCCCATGTTCACGATTGATGAGGCGGCTCTGCCCATTGGTGTGGCTCTGCATGTGGGGTTTGTGCAGCAGTTCCTGTCCCAGGGGCGAGCAGAGGCTTAGAGCAAGGGGTTAGCATCAGGAGCACCACGACCACCACCACCAGCCATATTCCGCCTCTGCATTCCCTCATGTTCACAATTGACGAGGCGGCTCTGCCCATTGGTGTGGCTCTGCATGTGGGGTTCGTGGAGCAATACTTGTCCCAGGGGCGGGCAGAGGCTTAGAGGGCATAGAGGGGCAAGCAGACAGACGAGGTCTTATACTAGCACAGTGCAGGGCTGTTGCTAAGCGCCTAGGTTGCTCTGCCCATTGGTGTGGCTCTGCATGTGGGGTTTGTGCAGCAATACTTGTCCCAGGGGCGGGCAGATGCTTAGAGCAAGGGGTTAGCATCAGTAGCACCACAACCAGCAACAGCCCCCCTCTCCATTCCCCGATGTTCACAATTGACGAGGCGGCTCTGCCCATTGGGGTGGCGCTGCACGTGGGGTTTGTGCAGCAGTTCCTGTCCCAGGGGCGGGCAGATGCTTAGAGGGCATAGAGGGGCAGCAGGCAGAAGAGGTTTTACTACCAGCACAGTGCAGGGCTGCTGCTAAGGGCGTATGGGCCCTGCACTGTTTGGCTGCTGCTATTGTGTATGAGGCATATAGGGCATAGAGGGGCAAGCAGGCAGAAGAGGTTTTATACTACCAGCACAGTGCAGGGCTGCTTCTAAGGGCGTATGGCGCGGCTCTGCCCATTCCCATTGGTGTGGCTCTGCACGTGGGGTTTGTTCAGCAATACTTGTCACAGGGGTGGGCAGATGGATAGTGGGATAGAGGCATATAGGGGAGGCACAGGGTAACTGTTACAAGTTTTTCTGTCCTGTCCTGAGTTCTTTCCTGCACACATGTACGGTAGTTGTGACATGCGATTTTTTAAGCGTGTGTTTTTCCAAAGGCACTCAAAGGACGTTTCCTTTCTTTAGGATAGTAAGTATTACCATACATATATGAACACTGTAGAATATATTATGTACGGTACATTGGAAAGATGACGTGGTTATAATCAAGTCAGAAAATCAAGAAGTAAGCTAAGCATACACTTACGGTACCAACCATAAGCATTATCCTACGGTGATAGGCTAGGTGCATGAGCTCTTCAGTTCGGAAATGGAGGAGATTCCATGGGTCTTTTGCTGCTTGGCCTACGTTTCTATCCTCGACTCGACACAATGAAAGCGCTAGTCTTTGTTTTTACTAGCCTCTCTTGCTTGAACTGTGATTCGGGTAGAAAGAAAAGCCGGTCAATGGCTTGGTGGGGCGTCTGCTGCTTGAGCCGTGTTCCGAGCCACCTGGGGGGGAAAAAGCGGGGGTGGTGGGTGCGGAGGAGCAAAACAACATTCTTAGACAATGCTTTGGAAGGGACAGCAATATGTTTGACCCAACAGTCCGTGCAGTCAGTAGCTTGGTGGGGCGTCTGCTGCTTGAGCCGTGTTCCGAGCCACCTGGCAGGGGGAATGAAGGAAGGGGGAGGGAGGTAAGGAGGGACATGGGGGAAAAGGGGAAGCAAAACTACAATCTAAATTGACAGAGAAACACTCGATTGCATGCACCATCACACTCAGAAGAACCATAATCGCAAGTTTGCAACTCATGCACATACGGCACCATGAGCTTAGCAGCCAGGATATCCTCGATATGATCCATCCAGGGAAGGAGGAAGGTTAAGGGAAAGGAAGTCATAGGAGGAGGGGCGATGGCAACAGGTGACAGGAGTGGGGATCATGAAAATGGCATTATTGATACCTGTCTCAGCATGAAATTTTCCCGTTGCAAGGTGCTAAGTGTTTCTTTTAGCTCAGCGTTCCGCTGGTCCAGCTGAGACACCCGCCCCTCCAGTTCTGATAGGTACTGCTTCCGCCGCTCCCTCGCCTGCTGGGCTGATACCCTGTTGCGAAGCAGCCTGCAAAGGGGACGGGCAAATATGCACAAACAAAGTTCTTTCAGCTCTGCGTTCCGCCGATCCAGCTAAGCATTCCGCAGGTCTGGTCCAGCTGAGAAACTTTTGAGACGTCTCAAAAGCCCGCTGATGCAGCTCTGCGTTCCGCTGGTCCAGCTGAGACACCCGCCCCTCCAATTCTGAAAGGTACTTGCTCTTGCCGCTCCCTCACCTGCTGGGCTGATACCCTGTTGCGAAGCAGCCTGTAAAGGGGACGGATAGGAGGAAAATTCCACTTATAATACTGTTAATAGAAGCTCGGCACCCTTCCTTTGCCTGTTGTGCTGATACCCTGTCGCAAAGCAGCCTGTAAAGGGGACAGGGGGATATCACAAATTATTAAAAAGGTAACTGAGAGTTGGCACTGTTCTCTAGCCTGCTGCACCGACAGCTTGTTGCGAAGAAGCCTGTGAAGGAGACAATGCCAGTAGGGGAAGATGCACGCAGCTAAGGCACGCCTCATTCAATACCACCGCCCACACCGACCCACGCCTCCCCCTCAAGCCCACGCGCTTGCCTCTCATCTCAAGCCCATAAGTCTCTATACATTCAACTCCAAACTGTCTATCATCGTTCTCATACCTCCCAAGTCCCTCATATACCTCCCAAGTCCGTCACATACCTCCCAAGTCCGTCACATACCTCCTTAATCTCTTGTGCTCTCGCTCAGCCGTGCTTCCCCCTCTCCGCCTCACTCCCCCCCCACCCCCTCTGCCCCCCCCACCACCTTCCCCCGCCGCCCTTCCCCCTCCCCCTCCCCTCCCCCCCGCCTGGCCCCCTTCCTCCCCCTCATCCTCCTCCTCCTCCTCATCCTCATCGTAATACTCATATTCTCCCCCCTCTCCCCCTTCTCCGCCTTCCCCCCCATATCCCCCTTCCTCCTCATTTCCAAAAGAGGCGCCACCACCAGAAGCAGCATTTTCAGCGGGTAAATCGCCCTGATTCGCCCGCAATTCGGCCTGCCCTGCCCTTGCCCCTCCCCCTTCCCCTGCCGCACCTCCTCCACCTCCCGCTCTCGCCGCGCCTGCCCCTCCCCCTCCTGCGGCACCAGTTGCGGCGGGGCCAGTTGCGGCGGTAGCGTAGTTATTATTCCGCCGGAATCGGGGAACTTGCGCGTCTGCATCTTGGTCTGACTCGTTACAAGCGGGGCAATGGGGGCAACGCGGGGGACGGGGAGCGGGAAGAGCAACGGATGGGGGGGAACGGGGAGGCGGGGATTGGGGACGTGAAGGGAGCGCCGAAGGGGAGGCGAAGCGGGAAAGCGGGGAAAATGGGAAGGGGAAAAGCGGGGATGCGGGGAAAAGGGGAAGGAGGAAGGCGGGGGGAACGCCGCCGTAACATCCGCCATCTTTATACTAAGCGTCAAGATGCTAATCCTGTTGTTCTCTAGTTTATATTTTAGGCTAAGGGCATACCTGCTGCTCGTGCCATCGTGACGTCAGCCATCTTCATCAAGTCTAGCACTCCACCCGTGGAGCACTAAGCGTCAGCCCCGCACAGACACACCCACCACCCACACAGTTCGGAGGGAGCATACCTGCTGCTCGTGCCGTCGTAGCATCTGCGTCAGCCATCTTCACCAGGTCTAGCACTCCATTCGTGGAGCACTAAGCGTCCAGCGCTAAGCGTAAGCGTCAGCTGCTAAGCGTCCACTAAGCGCCAGTTGCTAGTAATTATCAGCCACTAAGCGTCAGCGGACAGCTTAAGGCCCTAACGCGTCACTGTCGGCTTGACTTTACGGACTGCAGAGATTAAAGACCGTGTAATGCGGAGGATAATCGCAATCCCGGAGCTGCCGAAGCCGCGTGTATGCTATACAAGTCGCCAAGATAAGCGCGGGACAATCGGAGTCTTCGCGCACGCGCGGTAAGAACTCGCGTGAACTCCGCTGAAAATATAAGCTGCACGGCGTCACATATTCAGACGCCCCTCTTCGTTCGCGCTGGTTACTCAACGTTTGTAAGTCGTCTACCAATACTTTCCTTCGCATCCAGACCAGTTTACCCAATCAAGAGCCGCGTCGCGAGACTGTCTGAAAGCGTAAGACGTGGCTGCATCACACACCACTAGCATCGGAACTGACGTGTAACCGTTGGGGCGTGAAACATCAGGCCCCGACAGGTGTATCTGTCCTCGATATTGATCTCAAGTTTTAGCCGACCTGATAAAACACACTGTACAGTTAAACAATACAGTTGATGAGTCCATGCTATGCAAAACGCGTTCATTTCTGCACAGAATGTACTGAAGTTCCTAATTGTACTACCTATCCATGCAAAGCAGCTGCCCTCGACAACCAGCCAAATGCAACCCTAACAACTCAACCTAGCCCAAGGGCCCTGCAATAGCAACACAAGAGGGCTGCAAACTACAACCCAATTCCCTTAATGATCAACACTAACTTTCAATTGGATTGTCTCAATCTTGGTCTGGAGGAGCCAGCAGGTCAGCAGAAGACAGCAGGAGGTCAGCAGAAGCCAGCAGGTCAGCAGAAACCAGCAGCGGGTCAGCAGAAGCCAGCAGCGGGTCAGCAGAAGCCAGCAGGTCAGCAGATGCAAGCAGATTCAGACAACAACAGGCCAGCAGAAACCAGCAGCAGGCGAGCAACGAGCAGATCCATAGCGCAGCAAGGCCAGCAGATATCAGCAGCAGGTAAGCAGAAGCCCCCACAGGCAAGCAGCAGCAATCAGATGCAGCAGAGGCAACCAGGTCAGATCAGCAGACCACAATGCGGTGATCTTCAGAAGATTACTCAAGTTGCCTCCTTAAAAGTCCCGAATTCTGGTGAGAGAAGTTAGCAACTCAGCAGTACATTAGTCGAGGTTAATGGTGTCAGAACACCGCGTCAGCAGGGATGGGTCGCATCAGACACGTCAGCATTTGACGCCTGCAGAACCGAAGTCAAGCGGGCGGAAGAGTCTCCTTAGATTGCCGGAGGGTCGGCGCGGAGCCTGGGTCAACGGAATTCTGAAGTTATCAATCGTCGCGAGTGTCGGGGACGCAAGTGGAACAATCGACTCAGTTGCAGACGTGCTGCTCGCTTCAGGATTGTGCAATGATGTTCTCCCATTTGTGTCATCCTCCACATTGTCATGTCGGCTAGGGGTTGTAGTGCCATTGATGCCACCAAGACGTGAAATGAATGCCGTAAATGTCACCTTCTTAGGTGTTCCAGGACACTCTGCTGGGACAGGAATTCGAGATCCGTCTCCCTGAGGGGTAGAAAATTCGGTAGATGTTTCAGATGTTGAGTTTGAAGGAACTTTAAGATGAGAGTTCGGTGTAGAAAATCCAGCGTTTGTAGGCAGCGTCAAACGGGAATCGAGTTCAGCTTGTCCAGAGGATGGTGTGCGATTGACTCGTCCAATATCTGCTCGTGATGGAGACGAATCGACGCCGTCGACGGTTGTCAGCACGCTACGATGCGGTGAACAAAAAATCCGCGCTTCCTTGTTGGGTGTCCTTCTTTCGGACTTCTCTCGTTCCGAAGAACCTTCAAACGCGGATGCATGCGGTCGCTGAAAAATGAAAGACGGTCAAGGAAATGAAACAAGGAGAAAGGACATCAGGAAAGAAACGATTCTAAAAATCACATCGAATAAAGCGCCAACAAAAATATTCAACAAGTCGTAATGAGTCTGCTGCCCGTAAACCTTCCACCAACCAAAACGACATCGAAGTACACGACACCAAGCAGCACGAAAACGGAGTATCCCCATCCGACGGCCCCCGCTCCCCCAACGACCCCTCCCCATTCAAATCCCCTCCCACTCCCATAGTGCACAGCCCCAAGTCCTTACTTTAGTCCCAGACAGAGATACGGTCGTCTCGCGCGTTTTGGATGCATCGGCCAGCGAATCGGACGGTTCAGGTTTCCCGACAGCCAGTTTGCTCGAATTAGACGCATCCAGCGCGTCAAAGCCCCCCTTGCTGGTCTCGTAAGTTGCAAGGATGGAGTGCGGTAAACGGCGAACTTGGTCGCATTCAGCAAGAGCAGGCATGTCGCCATCGGTGTCGCCCATGACGACGGCGACAGTTGCGATAGAATCGCCTGCAGCGGCGGCGGATGAGAGGATTTGCCGCTCAGATCCAGATGCACCTTCGACAGTTTCTTGGGCGAGACGTATGGACATGGTAACCATTTTCGCGCGACAGCAGGCGCTGTTACAATGTAACAAACGTTGGAGCCGTCTCAGACGCAGATCTGAAATTAAAAACAGCTGGTTCTCGACTGCGCCGCAGGAAACGTCTCGGACGCAGAGAAACAATGCCGCGAAACCCGGAGCGTAATAAGCCGATAAAGATGCTCCTGAATCCGCAATGCGAAGCTGGGACAGGCGAAGAGCGCGGCGCGAGATGGGCTGCAGAATAAAGGCTTAAATGCGTAGCAGCGTTTACACGCCCGAGCTTCGATGCTTTCAGGTGACTTGGATCTTTCACCGTTTCAAATGCAGAAGGTGGGCCGGAACGGAGCTATTTTGGGACAGAATAACAGCGACAGCGGAGGGAAAAGCGCTGACCGCAAAAGCGTTGATGAAATCTTGGGCCGCAGTGGAAAGACCGGAAGCAGCGAGATTGAAGGAGACAGCAGTTGAAGACAAGGCAAGGGAGTCGCTTCAAAAGAATGCAGCTAGCTTCGAACGGAAAAAAACTTGCACTGGAAAACAATGCGCGGTAGCAAGTCTCTCAGATCAGAGGGGTCTAATGTGTGTTGATTGTAGCTTGGAAGCACTGGGCTGAAAACAAGCCCGAACACGCAATATGTTTTGGGAAGCGAAAGAGCTGCTGCTGTTGTGGGGAGGGCACTGTGGATTGAGGAACCCTCAGGTCAGGAAGGCTTACGGAGCCGGTCGGGAAAGGGATGGGACTCGGGAAGACTAGGAAGTGGAACTGGAGAGTTGGGGAACTGGACTTGCTTGCGAGGCTTGCTTGCGTGCCTGCCTGACTTCATGAGAGAGCGATGTTTGCGTAGCGAAGCGAGAGAAAGGGACGGGGGGGACGCGCTGTGTGTTTTGCGTGAGTGAGCGAAAAGCGAGGAGGGGAGGAGGGGGTTGAACATGCGTAGAACGCGTACGATTGGAGGACGAAATGTGTGAGTGTGCCTCTTCCGGTGTGTTGTACAGTAAGAGCGTGTTACGTACCCCTTATTTTGGTGTTAGGCCCCGGTTGCCTCCAAAAGTCGACTCAACCTGACTGGTCAGGTCGACCGGGCAGTAAATCTGACCGGTTGGGTACCAAACAGGCAACCTGCAAATGTACCACCTGTCTGTTTTTGGGACCCTACCATGCAAATAGTATTTCGGGTAGACCTAATAGAAATTGCATCAATATTACTGGCTAACCTTCAATGGAAAACTTTATACACCAGTCATATCGAGTCTCTCTAGTGCGACATGCCCGCAAAGTTTTTGTTAACCCCCGGTTGCCCACCAGGTTGGTACGTTGGGGCTTGGTTGCCTCGACCTGGTTGTATGTGGACGCGACCAGCCGGTTGGTTGACTGCATGGTCGCCTCGACCAAGTGTGCGCATGCCTTGGTACGCACGTCCTTTGGTGGACACTGTACACTCTCGGGTAATCTGGTAACCCTACATTCAACCCAACCTGACCGTTCGATGCAACCGCGACCTGGCCCCAAAATAAGGGGTACGTAACACGCTCTAACGCGCTGTGGGGGAGAGAATGCGGGGAAGCATTGAGGCGAGGCGAGAAGGGTACAGCGGAGGGGGAGAGGATGACGTGGACGCGGGGAAAAGGGGGAAGGGGGTGACGCAATTGTTTTTGTGGCTGGGGTTTTGCATCCATGCGCTGCGGCCGGATGGATGAGCAAGGGGGAGCTCGCTTGTCTTCCTTCCACTCAGCCCATGTCAATGCTACTCTAGGCTCGGTGCGGATAGGGTTGTCTGTTCTGCCCTTGCCTGACTCGAGCGAACCTCTGCACGAAACTTGAGTGGGAGTTGGAATGGCCTGGTCGCACTTTGGGCTGGTCAAGTTGCCGTGTCATCTCTCGCCGAAAATAGCTCAGCGGACAAGCGAGTCCGCCCGGGGGAGCTCGCTGCCCGCGGGCAAAAAAAATAAACCCCAGACGGGCATGCATCCGGTCAGGGAGCCTCAACCCTAAACGCGGGGAGGCATGGTGTTTAGGGTTGAGGCTCCCTCGGATGGCATGCCATCCGATGGGGGTTTAGTTTATTTGCTGCCCGGGGCAGCAGGTCGACAGGTCGACACAGGTCGACAGGCTTGTCGACCTGATTCCGCTGAGCTCTTCCGTGTGACACCTGCTGCTGACTAGGAAAATGATGATGTGGCGGACAAGAGACTGTTCAGCACCAAGCGGAAGGCATAATTTCCAGACCAGGTGAGATGTGCAGAATGAGGCTAGTCTGGGTCTGCCCAAAAAACGATCTTTCAGCGATTGCGTCCACCAAAAAAACGTGTTTTCATCCTCATCATCATGCCGAAAGAAGCGGGGACGCGTGGTTGGATTGACTCCAGCTAGCAGAAACGCACAAAAGCGCACGAGAGTCAACGAAAATGTGGCAAAAGCCAGGCGTTGGCTAGTGGGGTTGGTTGGCTGAATGGGGGAACGAAAACTGTAGGTGAGAGGATAAAGGGCAGCCACGAAAACATTCCGACGCAAGGGAGCGTGCTGTTTCGAATGACGTCGTCCTTCCTACAATGAAAATAGAACGTCACTCCCTATTGGCTGATGACAGCGTCGTCAACGCGTTTGAGCGCCGTGCCACGTCATTAAAAGAATTTGACCAGTCAGGTGCAGGGTGCTAGCAGTCAGATCACATGCATTTCTGCAGTTGACACGTCAATGTTTCCTCTTTTTAGCCGAGCTGTCAACCTTGTTCAAGAAAAGTGTGATATCTGCTTTCATGTATCTTCCACCGTCCAAAAAGCACTACAGATAGGGTTTGTGTTTGGTTGGTCTTGGTGGCACTAGGTGGGGGTGCAGAGGAGCACTCCGCGCCATTCGAATACGTTCGGAGTTTTTGGCGGGAAAGATCATCCCCCTACTCCCAGCTTGCAGCGCGGGAGCTCCTTCCCGCCACAAGCAGCTTCAGAGAGCATCTTCGCACGTCATCAAAAGTCGACACGTCATCAGGCTTGTAACGGTAACGCCTACCTACGTGTCATCGGCCAGGGAGCCGGAACAGATGGTGAGGATGCGTCACAAGTAAAATATCGAGGAAGGATCAGGGTTGTTCACCGAACCTGTCAAACCGATCGCCATATCGGTGTGTCACGACTGCTTTGAAGTTTCAAGTGACACGGTCGTAAAAACATGGGGCAAAATTGCCCGATGTGGACGAAATTGCACGATCGATGTGTGACAGGGGCACATCGATCGCCTGACTTAGAAGGGAAAACTGTACGTTAACGAAAATAAACGAAAATGTGTAACTCCTAAACACCGATTCTAGGCAGGATCGATGTTCTACTTGTGACGCGTCCTGAGAGAAACCGAACCGCTCGGCCTACACTTGCCCCAGCACAAAACCCCTATATAATAGCATGCGCCTCCAACAAGAACCTCCAAAACATAACTCAGGTACGAATAGAAGGAATACTACTGAAGCAATATAAGCAATACCGTAAATGAATCACGTTCACACCCCACACATGCACACACACACATTTTATCAGCCATCAATAGTTTGATTTTATATGAGGATGACAAACTTTATGCAAACATATACACAAACTTTAACAAAAAAATATTATCACAGCCTAAATAGAGAGGACGAAAAAGTTTCCTTAGGCTCCTAGAAGGATGTGGCACCCCATTACAACATACTCCTGTGTCACTTCCGGCTGCAGTAGGACTGTCAACACTAGCACATGTCACGATATCTACATGAGCACCTATCGTCCTCTCAGCCATGCAGAAAGACCCGAGTGATGTAGACATTGAAGTATATACAGAAGTGACTTGTGAAGCCGATAACCGAGCTGCTTCACTTCCAGGGATGAAGCAAGTTGCAGAAGTTGAATGCCGGCACTGGACATGGTGCTGCATGGGGGCCTCCCCCATCTCCAACCCCTGATAACCACACCTGCATCCATTGCCAATGTTGTTTGTGTTTGGAATTGTGCAGCTGTGCGGTGCAACAAGCTTGCGATGTCGTGCCTTCAAAGGTGCGCCTGGACACCGATCTGTCTGCGGAATTCGGTGCTGAATTCCACATGGTGTTGAAAATCCAACTGATTTCTCAATCAGAGATCTGGAAGTGATGTCAGGAGGAAGCGGTGTAGAAAGACTGCTTGGAAGTCTGAATGTGGAAGCAGGTTCCGTTTCTATGGAGAATGCTTCGAGCTGGTTCGGATAGAAATCTGCCGCATCTGCATGTGACCGCCAGGAGGAATCGTTGTCAACGGCTGTGACCGCGCTGCATGGCTGCTGACGTGGAAACGCGGAAACTGATTTGCGCAATTTCACCATCCTTTGCACCGTCATCTCGTGTTCCGCGACACCAGTAGACGCGGATGCGTGTGGTCTCTGTAAAGTTGGACACCGAAGGGGAAATTTGGGGCAAATTGAGGGGAAGGGGATGCGAAAGGTGTGATGGAGCTGGGAATTCGAGCCAAAAGCTGTGCAAAGCAAAGCCTATAACCACAAGGCTTCTCCTTTCCCCCCCCTTCTTTCCAACCTCGCTCACCTCCTCCCCCTTCCCCCCTCTCTCCCTCTCCTCCACCCTCACCCTCTCCCCCTCTCTCTCCATCTCCCCCCCTCTCTCGCACCCCTGGCCGATTCCCATCCCTGTCTCTCCTCGCTCGTTGGACTCACTTTAGCGTCAAGCCGCACCTTGTTCCCAGAACGCAAATCTTCGACGCGGCTCGAGCTCGAATTAGACGTAGTCGCATAATCAAGATTGCGACGTCACAAAATTTCGGCCCCAAAAAACTAGGCTGAAAGAATGTTTTAACATAGTTCAAAGTATGCCAAACGGAACATAGTTGTGACATTAAGTGGATCAGTGCTGGGGCATAGTTGTTGCATACCTCGTGCATAGTTTTTTCACACCCACAACTTGCTACGAACACCCCTTACTGCCACTAGGGGAGCCACGACATGGGGTAACTCGTCTCTGTATAAGGGTGTGTAACGATTTTGTACAATAATAAAGACAATAGTTTATACTTTTTAATTGTATTCTGTAATATAGATTTTGTGACAATAAAACATCTGTTATAAGAACATCCACTCATTATAGGCAGCATTCTGTATTTTCACGTTTGTCTACCAGCAGCTTGGCATTCTATTGCATGTGCTTTTTAGGTTGTGAATCAGTTTTATACAATGAACTTTACACAACAGTCACACAGTGCGCAAATCAAACACAAAATATCAGAGGTGCATCTCAGCCCTACAGGATAAAGCCTACGAATACTCTCCATCCTTGTGCCTTGCCCGCATGGGCAACCTATCGGCTTCCAAAAACTTGGTACACGCTCTTCCCAAAATACCGTAGTGGAGCGGGAGGCGGGGAGCCTCAAGCAGCAGATGAGCATGATAGCAGTAGAATGTGCCCATCACTGCCTGCCTTCCCCTCTGATTCCACATCCCCCAGCACTTCCTCCCACTCTGCTCCCACATCTCCCTCATTGGTATCCCTCCGTATCATTTTCCCCATTCCTGCCTTCCCCACTGCTCCCTCATCCCCCTGTCAGGCCTCCCCTACTGCTCCCTCCTTCCCCCGTTGACGCCTCGACTTTAGCATCAGATCCTCCCCAGCTACTGCCCCATCCCCCCCGTCGCTGCAGAGGGAGGGGGCGGGAGCGGAAAGGGAAGGTAAGGAAGGGAGGAGCGGAAGAAGGTGGGGGGGACAACAACGGCTGCTGCTGCCAGTGATGCTGGTGCTGCTGCCAGTGATGCTGGTGCTGCTGCTGCTTCATCACATTGCACCGCTCACCTGCACGTCCATGAGCACAATGACGAAGGAGTGTGCCTGCAGGCCACGGATGGCATCGTGGATGTTGGCAGCGGCGGAGCATTCATGACCCATGCTCGCTAGCATCGTGGTCTCTGATTCACCACGTTGTCCTCACTGCTCCCATGCCATGCACACAGGTTGCAGAGGGACTGGGGCAAGAGAGCGGGGGATGAGGGGAGAAAGCGGGAGGAAGAAGCAGAAGAGTGATTGGGCGGGAGCGAAAACACTGAATTGCACTGCAAGCTGCAGCATGGACTTCGCGTTGCTAAGACATTCTTCTACAGGCCTGGCCTCACCATGCCACACCTCACCTGTGCCCCACCACATCACGTCACGGCATGCTATCACATGATGTTCCGTGTCCAAGCATGCCACCACATGCCACCACATGCCACCACATGCCACCACATGCCACCACATGCCACCACATGCCACCACATGCCACCCCATGACACCCCATGACACCCCATGACACCCCATGACACCCCATGACACCCCACACCACCCATGCCATCCCAACCCATGGCACATACGTGAGCAGTATCCGGAGGAGGAAAGGTTGGCAGGTGGTTGAGGAGGCGAGGAGGTGGTTGAGGGCGATCTGGCACACCTACACTCCAGGTAGGTGGGGGCAGCTGGGAGGGTGAGAGGATGCGGGGTGGAGGGGGAGAGGGGAAGAGGGGGTGAGGGGAAGAGGGGGAGAGGGGAAAAATAGAACGGAGAGCGATAACAAGATGGGAATGGGAGGCTGGCAGCACGACGAGGGATCGAATGAGTCTATGAGGAGTGCATGAGCGCAAGGCCGTGAGCATGCGTGCAGCAGACCAAGCTGGGGTGAACTCAATCGTGAAGTGCTCATCTCACCGAGCACGCCGTTCGATGGGGGTACGGTTCTCGTGGCTCATGGGCGCCAGGATCCGCGACTTGAGGCGGTTGGCGGACTCCGCCTCCGTGCGCGATTCGCGCTCGCTCCCGCCACCATCTGCTCCAGCACCAGCACCAGCGGCTGCTCGATTGCTCCAAGTCCTGCCGTCATGCGCGCACATTCAAAAGCACAGATCAGAGAGATCGGTACAAGTGGGTGGTACCGTACCGCAGCTCTTCGTTTCGCGTTTTCTGTGAACCTTCCAGTAACGAAGCTGGATGTAGTAACTCGTGGCATGACCACCCCTCACCTTGATGCAAAGCTGCAGGTGCTCCCCGCAGACAGGAGCGCCTCCATTTCTTGCCGCAGCACCTCACTGTTGCGCTGCAGCTGCTCCATGCGCTCCACAATGTGCTCCTCCAGCGCTGCGTTGAGCGCGCGGACCTCGCCCTCCTTGCGCTTGATGTCGCTTATGTCCGCCGAAACGCCAATCACCCCCACCAGCTGCCCCGACGGGTTCAGAATGAGCGTGTCCGTCACCTGCGAGGTGGCGCGCGCGGGGAGCAAACGTTGAGATGCAGCAAAGAGACGATTGTGTGGCGGCGGGGGGGGCAGGAAGACGGGTGGGTGCGGAGAGACATGAGTATGGAGGGGATGTGGTATAAGAGGTAGCACGCAGCAAGGCTAGGAAGAACAGCGCGCACCAGGGTGGTGAAGGGTAACTCGCACCATGGCGGGGAAAGGCGAGCCGCCTGCGTCTGACGAGGAACTCGCCAATCCACACCTCCCCTTGCTGATCGCGCCGAAACTGACGGTGCGGACGTACACAATGGCAGTAAACCACTTGGCAAGCAATTAGTACATCTCGCGGATTTGAGACAGTCCAAAACTAATTTAATACCAACGGAGAGTTTAAAGAGTCCTAACCCGGTCGATGAATATGGCGGAAAAGAGGAGGACTGGGTGCGAAAAGACGTCGTGCCACGACAAGACGAAAGGGCGTGGGGAGGGGAAAGGAGCGTGTGTAAGGAGAAGGAGCGTGGAGGAGCAAGAAGAGATGAGGCGAGCGCCAATAAACGCGTCTGTGGACGACCAATTTCGATGATACAGACGCGGGCGGGTCGACGAGGAGGGGAGGGCGCTGCGCAACAGCGGCTGGCAGTACGAGGCGGCTTAGCGAACGGCAAGCGACACTAAAGCTGGCGGACAAGCGAGAACAAAAAAAAACGGGGCGGCTAAGAGAACGACAAGCGCTGTTGGCTGGCGCACGAGCTAGAACATAGAAGAAAAAGAGGAGTAAGAAAACGTTCAACGCTAAACGGTGCTCTCGCTAATAGTAGCGGTGGGCCGCGGTTATTAACTAGTGCTACAGAGAAGCAACGAGAATCAAGAAAACCTGAATCGCAAGTGAATTTGCTCGCCTGAAATAGGTGCTCGAGGTGACGGGGCTGCCTAGCTCGGGATTGAGTTCAAGAAGAGCAGAACCACGATCTGCGCACAAAAATGTTTCGTTATGTGCCGAAAACTGTGCACATGCTACGTTGTAACATTTGTTTTCGGCAGGCTGTGAGGTTTCCGCAACGCTGGTGAAAATCGCCGTGTAACCAGATGCTTCTGACTCAGGGGGTGTTGTGTTGACGTTGCAGCATGCTGGACCGGAGAAATTCCAAATTTGTCGGTGAAAATGATCCAGCACACGCTGGGATGATACTGTACACCAAACCCGACCTGACACTAGGTTTGGCACGAAGGTTTGGTTTCAGTACGCAAGTTGCCGAGCGTAGGTGCTGGTGCGGATGAACGACAAAAATATGAACAATTGCGTGGAGATGAACTTAACACTGAAACGGGTCTGACTGTGGGTGGCTCTCTAGAAACCCAACCTTCAGAACATAGTTCCCTACATGATTGGAAGCAGTTCGAACAATGCTCATGTAGCATACCTGAAACTATGCTACGATTGTGGGCATGTTTTGGGGGCCAGGAATTTTGTGACGGACCCACGGAATGCGGCGCTTCGTTCGCCGCGGCGGCAGCGCCGATTCCGTGAATAGTAATACTCGTCGCAAGGACGGCAAGCGGCGAGCGATTATCAAATGCGTGGGAGGAAAATTCGTCACGGCCCGCGCGAGACCCTTCGGCGCTGACCCCATTTCCAAGGGCGCCCGTTTCAGCTGTCGATCCGAGTCGTTAGCGGCAGTGACGAGCGGCGGCTGCGACGGCCGAGATGGGTCGTCATCGGTTTTTGCAGCGAGACCACGCGAACGGGTCACCATTTTTAGCAAGGCTTTTGTTCAGGCTGAACAATGGACAGCGAGGTACTAGCTGAAGCCAAGATTAAGGCCTTAAAGCAGGTGAGGAGTAAGTAAAGTATGACCGTCCTTGGAGAATAAGAAACAGAGCCGCGGCAAGTGAGCATTCGAGAGTGGTAGCAAGAGTTTCTATGTTTTGCATCGTCAGTTGAGGGCGGACAGGGGTGGAGTGAGCAGGAGTGGGACCAAGCGAACAAGTTGACCCAACTCGCTCGACAGGTCGAGTTTCAACCACCTACAGGCAGTCCTGCGCGTCCCGTTCCCATTCTCCATTTCCGTTCCGAATCTCGGCTCTTCGTGACGTGTGCAAGCGCACCAAGTTAGCGCCGAGGGGGATCAGCGCGCGCCACCGCGCGAAGAAAGGAACATCGGCAGCGGAGCGCAGCGCAACGCAACATGGGAAGGAAACACTCCCAGAGCAGCGCAGCGACGCGGCGCATTTCTGCTCAGCCGCGCAGTGGCAAAGAGCGCGCACGAGGGGCACCGTGGAGGGTGTGTGACGTGACGAGGGTCAACGGGGCATGCTTGCTGGTGTTGTCTTGCAAGCGACGGGACGGGACGGGAGGGAGGACTCTTGAATGGGGAGGGAGCGGAAGGGGGGGGGGAGGGGCTGAGAAATCCCGGGGATCTGGGGTTGGGGGGGATGGGCAGGGGAGGACAGCACAGCAGAGCAGAGGCAGAGCAGAGCAGACAGGGCAGTCGCGTTCCCTCCATGGACCGTGCGAAAACTAATGGGCGGTGCTTCACGCTACATGACTATGATTCATCATCAAAGCAGGCTGCCGGACGAATTGCTGCCAGGGGTATTTTTGGAGGCTGTCCGAACCAAAGTGACCGTCGAGAAATGTCAAGAAGGGAATTCGTGGAATGTGGTTCGTCCGATTTCGAATCCGACGAACGGCATCCCTCCCTAGACATACCGAGCGTTTCCCAGCCGATGCCGGCTTTCGCGACCACGTTCCACTGTCGCTATGAGAGACCTAGCGGTTCCCGCCTAAAACATCGGAGCCAATCGGCTCTCTGTAAGATCCAGATTGCTGCCAATTGTCTTCACACAACAGTATTTTATCAGTCATCCTGCTATGGTCCTTGGGGGACAACAGAAGTTATGATGCCAGAGGTGGGCGTGAGGATGAGTCTCACGTGAAACCTGTCGGTACTGTAAATCACGTACTTGAAGGGCATACACTAGAGGCAACGCATCAAGTGTCGCAAGGGCGTATTCCAAGAAAGTTTATGCACTAACTCAGAAGACATTTGCGGAGTTAAACCCGCACGACACTTTAAAGAAACTTGCGCTGTAGCAGCTAGAACCTGCAAGTGTCAAATACTGTACTGTATTTTTCCCCCGTCGAGTGTTCCTACCCCTGTCTGGGCTGGGCTGGTTTGTTCGGTTCGGATGGAAGATGGAGGGAGGAGGAAGGAAACAAGCTAGGGGGTTGAAAAGGGGCACAGCTAGGGGATCTAGTACAACAGGTCAGCATAGGGTTGAATGCCAACCTGGCGACATCAAGGAATTTTTGGCCAAGTCATGGCGGCCATTTTCAGGTGCATGCCACACTGTAGGGAAAGGCTTCTCAGGTGCATGCTATCGCGTCGTGATTCTCCCCTTGTTGCCACTGTTTGTACCCATCCGCCACTAAAAACACTGTTCTGTCAGGGGATGCAACCCACGCGACTTACACCAACAGGCCCAGCTCTCGCACGAACTCGCCACACCAGTCACACCAGTCGCAGCCTTCCCCAAGGAAGGGGTGCGTGCGCAAAATCTGTGCGCAAGTCCCTTCCCCAACTCCCCCCGCTTCCCTCCAGCAAGCGCTGACTCCTGAAACCACCGACACTTCACTTCTGCACCAAAGGAACAGAGAACAGGCGGAAATCCTGATCCTGCACATCCGGGATCGATAGGTATGATTGTTTATAAGTAGATTCGCTGTCACATAAAAATTGTCAAGGACTCATTAAAAAAAAGTGTTTAGGGTTTCAACAACACAATGTGCCACAAGTATAGACGATTTGTGTATTTTTCACTAGGTTTTAGGGTAACTTTTTTTACCATTCAATCATTATACAATAATAATTTGTGTATCTTGGTTTCCATAATTTAGAAACTACCACCTGTCAAATGTTGTAGCCTATAGTGAGGTTTGTCTTAGGGGGTACAAAACTTAGGGTTAGCTATATGTACCCCAACCAACATCAATGCATCATCCATTCCTCATTCTGACATGGTATCAGTTAGGTTAGGATCCTGTGGGATCCCGTTCCTCCGTTCTCCGTTCGTATCTCCCGAGCCTGATCCTACCTCTCGTTCGTACCGGTTCCGTTGTTACCGCGCCTAGTGCCGAGCCTAGCGCCCTTCCCCCCGTCGCCTAGCGCCATTTTCCCCCCGTCACGTCGCGCCCTTTTCCCCCGTTGCGTCGCGCCCGTTCCCCCCCGTCGAGTCGCGCCCTTTCCCCCCGTCGCGTCGCGCCCTTTCCCACCGTCGCGTCGCGCCCTTTCCCCCCGTCACGTCGCCCTGCCCCGTCCCGTTGCCCCTGCCCCGTCCCGTCGCCCTGCCCCGTCCCGTCCCGTCCCGTCCCGTCCCGTCGCCCCTGCCCCGTCCCGTCCCCGTCCCGTCCCGTCCCGCGGCCCTGCCCCGTCCCGTCCCGTCGCCCCGTCCCGTCCCGTCGCCCCTGCCCCGTCCCGTCCCCGTCCCGTCCCGTCGCCCTGCCCCGTCCCGTCGCCCCGTCCCGTCTCCCTACCCCGTCGCGTCGCCCTCCCCCGTCGCGTCGCCCTGCCCCGTCGCATCGTGCCCGCCCTTTCCCCCGTCCCGTCGACCCTACGCCCTGGCCCGTCGCTCTAGCCCGCTCTTCCGCTGCGACTAAGTCCCACCTGAACCCTAATTTGCCTCTTACCTCCTGCTGTTACTCGCCTGCTCGTTCGCGTTAGTTTTCGCTATGGCGACTCCGCGAGTTCTTCGTTTCGACGCTGACGGCAGACCTCTTGACTTTTCCGTCTGGCTCCTTCGCGCTCGCCGTCTGTTAGAGAGTCAAGTCCAGGGGGGCGAGACCCTCTGGTCGCACGCTACTGGTGACCTCCCCGAGCCCCCCGAGCCTGCCGCTTTAGGTCCTGCCCCTGACGATGCTGCTACGGCTCGCTTTGCCCGTCAGCGCGCTGACAGGACGGCTTGGACGTCGCGTGACGCTGCGGCCTGCATCGCACTCAGCAGCCTCCTCCCTGAGTCAGAGGAGGTCCACTTCACTCAGGTTCGCACCGCTGCTGCGTACCTCACTGCGATTAAGGCCCGCTACTCTACTCCCGCTACTGTCTCTCTTGGCCGTCTTTTCCTCCCGTTCCTGTTTCCTGATCTCGCCTCGTTTGAGCGCTCTGCTGACTTGATCGCTCACCTCCGCTCGCTCGACGCTAGTTACCGCGCTGCTTGCACTGAGGCACAGCTTGCACTGCTTCCTCCCCCCATGGCGATTACTATCTATTTCATCGCCACTAGCCTCCCTGACCGCCTTGCCTCCGTACGTGACGCGCTCCTGCTGAAGCACCCTAGTGAGCTGACAGTTGAGGTCCTTGAGTCTGCGCTCAAGGACGTCGAGAGCAACCTTCGCTCGGTAGCTGCCGCCTCTGGTGCTGTGCCCCCCCCACTCTTCCACGGGTGCACAGTCCCGCAGTTACCCACCTTCACTGCCTCTCTTGCCACTGCCGCTACTGACGCGACTGCAGCTGCTGTTACGACTGCGTCGCGGTCCCGCGGCAAGGGGGGCAAGAAAGGTGGTTCTGGTGGAGGTGGAGGCGGAGGTAGCGGAGGTAGTGGGGGTGCTGTTGCGACTGGCGGTGGTGGGAGTGCAGCGTCTGGAGAGACCTCTCGTGCAGCGGCTGGTGACTCCACTGCGCCTGCTGGTGGTGGCGACACCCGAGCTCGTCAGTCGTCTCCTGTACTGCCGGCCCCGCTAGGTGGAGCAGCGGCGTGGTACCAGGCTCAGCGTCAGCAGCGGCTTCAGCAGCAGCAGCAGCCCCTCTCCTCCCAGCAGCCTCAGCAGCAGCAGCGTCAGCAGCTGGCTCCGGGGTCGGGGCTGCGTCAGCCCCAGCGTGGTGCTGCTTACCCTCCCTGCACCTATCAGGTTCTGACAGGTCCTCGTCGGGGCCACCCTTGTGGCCGCTTTCACCCCCCTGGTCAGTGCTTTGCTCAGCTCACTGACACGGTCCGGTTGGCCTACGGGGTTGGCGGTCCTGCCCTTGACTGGCTTCCTCTGGTTCAGCGCTACGGCTCCGCTCTGTGGGGCATGTCTGCTGAGCAGTTAGTTGATCTGATTGGTGCTCCTCATGCTATGTATGCTGTTGTTGACTCTAGTGTTTCTGACTCTGCTTACTCTGGTGTTGTTAGCTTAGGTGCTAGCCTTGCTCAGTTGCCTGTTGCTAGTGTAGGTTCTTGTGTAGACTCTAGTCCAGCGGCTACCTCAGAGGACGGTTCGCTGTCGTTCACGCTGGACTCTGGAGCCTCTCACTGCTTCTTTCGTGACAGCACGACACTTACGCCTCTTCCTGCGCCTGTTTCTGTGGCGCTGGCTGATCCCACTTCGGGACCAGTCACCGCGCGTCACACTACCACCTTGCCGTGTCCGGCTGCTCCTTCTGGGTCTCTCACTGGGTTTCACGTCCCCTCGTTCTCCCGGAACTTGGTGGGCGTGCGACCCCTCGTGAGTCAGCACGTGGGTGTGTGGTTTGAGCCTTCTGGAGAGACTGCGGTGTGTGTTGACGGAGACTCTTACCAGCCCCTCGCCACTTTTGCTGCTGAGCCGGGCTCCGGTCTCTACACTCTTCACACTGGCCCGCGCGCTCAGCAGCGACTGCAGCAGCAGCAGCAGCCGCAGCAGCAGCAGCAGCAGCAGCCGCAGCAGCAGCAGCGGCAGCAGCCGCAGCCGCAGCCACAGCGGCCGCCGTCGCAGCAGCCACTCCTCCCAGTTCCTGTCCCTCCCCCTAGTCTCCTCCCTGCGTCTCACCAGGTGGTTCCGTCCCCTCAGGTTGTCGCGTCCAGTCCAGTCGCTGCGTCTTGCTCCTGTCGGTCGCTTGCCCACCCCACCGTTCTGTGGCACCACCGGATGGGACACCCTTCTCTTCCACGTCTGCGTGCTATGTCTAGTCAGCGTCTGGTCTTAGGTCTCCCGCGTGTCTTGCCGTCGCTGCCGCCGTCCCTTGCACCACCGTGCGGTCCTTGCGTCGAGGGTAGGCTGCGTGCCACCCCTCACTCCTCCTCCCTTCGTCCGGCCACCGAGCCTTTTGAGACGCTGCACTTGGACGTCTGGGGCCCCTCTCCTCGCCCTGGCCCTGAGCGTGAGCGTTTCTTTTTGGTGGTCGTTGACGACTACTCCCGCTACACCACAGTGTTCCCCCTGGCGAGGAAGTCTGAGGTGACTTCTACGCTGATCAGGTGGTTGCTTACCACCCAGGACACTCGTGGTCGTCGTGTCAGCTGTCTCCACTCCGACCGCGGGGGCGAGTTTCGCTCCGGCATTCTCGCTGGATTCTGTCGCGAACAGGGCATTCGTCAGTCCTGGACGCTTCCGGAGTCCCCACAGCAGAATGGGGTTGCTGAGCGTCGCATAGGCCTGGTCATGGAGATTGCCCGCACCTCCTTGACTCACGCCCGTGCCCCCCATTTCCTGTGGCCATACGCAGTCAGGTACGCCGCGCACCAGCTGAACCTCTGGCCACGCGCTTCTCGGCCGGAGGCTTCACCGACCAGTCTTTGGACAGGGTCCCCTGGTGTCGCGTCGAGGTTTCGTGTCTGGGGGTGCTTGGCTCTTGTCCGCGACACCTCCGCGGACAAGCTCTCGCCTCGCGCCGTTCCTTGTGTCTTCCTTGGTTTCCCTGAGGACTCCTCTGACTTCACCTTTTACCACCCTCCCTCTCACCGGTTCTTTGACTCCCGTGACGTCCGTTTCGAGGAGTCCACCCCGTACTACGTCAGGTACCCCAGTCGAGGTCTCCTGGTTCCTCCTCCCCCCCTCTTCCTGACAGCCGCTCCCCCGCCTGCTCCCCCGGTACAGCCTCCCCCCCCTGGTCCAGCCCCGTCTGGTGTGTCTCAGGCTAGCCCTCCCCCTTCGGTAGCCCCCCCTGTACAGCCTCCCTCCCCACAGTCTTCCTCGCCGCCTCCTGCAGGTGCTCCCTCTCGGGAGGTTGGTCCTGCGACTGTCCCTGTACAGGTCTCTGGTTCTGGGGGTGCTGGAGTTGGAGCTGAGCCGCGGGTTGCAGAGGACTCTTGTCTTCCGGGGGCTGGTACTGGTCGTGCGGAGTCTGGGGGTGCTGGTGCGGAGTCTGGGGGTGCTGCGTCTGGGGGTGAGGGTGTCCCTTCGGTTTCTGGAGAGCCTGGGTCTGGAGCTGGTGTTGGTGCTGCCTCTGGGGGTGGTGTGCTTGGTGCTTCGGAGGTCGACTCTGGGGCTGCCGCTGCCCCGGACACTACTCCTTCCCCCCACCCCTACCCGACCAGGTTCCAGGCTCGTGTTCGCCGTGCTCGTGAGGAGCAGCTGGAGTTGGAGAGAGAGGAGAGAGAGTTGCAGCGGCTCGAGGAGCAGGAGCGACAGCAGCAGGAGCAGCAGCAGGAGCAGCAGCAGAGGCAGCAGCCGCTGGAGCAGCAGCAGCCACAGCAGCCGCGGCAGCAGCAGCAGCAGCAGCAGCAGCAGCAGCAGCTGCTGCCGTCTCCTCCTCCTGTCTCGGGTCTTCGGACCCTTGGTCTCCCGTCTCCCTCTCCTTCCTCCTCCCCCTCTCCTCCCGTCTCTGGTCCTCCGCTTCCTCCTCCTGACCCCTCTCCCGCTGTTTTCCCTCGTTCTCAGTCTTCGTTGTCTCCTCCTCCTTCTCAGACTTGGGCCTCTCGTCGCTCCCCTCGTGCTCGTCCCTCGTCTCCTGTTCCCTTCACTGACCTTCGTACAGCCTTCCTTTGTTCTCGTCCACCTCGTCCGTCTCCGTCTGTGCTTCCGTCTCCTCCTGAGTCGGCCCTCACTGTGTCGCTTCCTTCTCCTGTCACTGACTACTACCGCACGTACCGTCCTGTTCTCTCTCGTGTTCTCGCCTCTCTTGTTACCCACCCTCGTGCCTCTTTGTCCTCTGTCTCCGCTCTTACTGCCGCAGTCACTGAGTTTGCCTCTACCCGCCGCCTTGACTTCGCCACCGCTCTTGTGGCAGCTCCTCCTTCCAGTCCTCTGGCCGTCGGGGGTGTGTCTGCCCTTGGCTGTGACGCCCTAGAGGACAGGCAGTTTGAGCTAGAGTTCCTGGCGGCCGCTTCCCCTCATCTCTGTGCCATGCTCCTCGCCCCTGAGGGTGACCCCGACGCCCTTGACATTCCGACTCCTCGCACTTACGCTGAGGCAGTGTCAGGGCCTTGGGCCTCTCAGTGGAGAGCTGCCATGGACGCAGAGATGGCCTCCTACAGATCCACAGGCACCTACGTCGATGAGGTTCCCCCTCCGGGGGCGAACGTAGTCGACGGCATGTGGATCTACAGGGTGAAGCGGCCACCGGGATCTCCTCCGGTCTTCAAGGCGCGCTACGTGGCTAGAGGTTTCAGTCAGCGCGAGGGAGTTGACTTCTTTCAGACCTTCGCGCCCACCCCGAAGATGACCACTCTTCGGGTGTTACTACACGTAGCAGCACAGAGAGACTACGAGTTACACTCTCTCGACTTCTCTACTGCTTTCCTTCAGGGCAGTCTTCACGAGGAGGTCTGGTTGCGTCGTCCCTCTGCCTTCACTGGCTCTTTCCCTCCTGGGACCCAGTGGAGGCTGAGGCGACCGGTTTACGGTCTTCGTCAGGCTCCTCGTGAGTGGCACGACACCCTGCGTTCTACCCTGTCTGACCTTGGGTTCCAGCCGTCTTCTGCTGACCCGTCGCTGTTCGTTCGTCGTGGCCCCACACCTTTCTTTGTTCTGGTCTACGTTGACGACCTTGTTTTCGCCACCCCTGACAGGGTTGCTTTGGCACACGTGAAGTCCGAACTGCAGAAGAGACACACCTGCACTGATCTTGGTGAGCTGCGCCACTACCTTGGCCTGCAGATCACCAGGGACAAAGCTGCTCGCACCATTACACTTTCACAGTCGCACATGGTGCAGCAGGTCCTTCAGCGGTTCGGGCTTCAGCACTCCACAGTACAGCGCACACCTCTTGCTGTTGACCACAGACTCACTGGACCCTTTCCTGACGAGCCGTTCGAGCCTAGTGGTCCCTACGCAGAGCTTGTGGGTTGCCTCATGTACCTGATGACTTGTACTCGCCCGGACCTCGCCTTCCCTCTCAGCGTTCTTGCGCGCTTTGTTGCGCCAGGGAGACACCGTCCTGTTCACTGGACAGCAGCTGTGAGGGTGGCGAAGTACCTAGCGACGACGTCAGGCGTGGGGCTAGTTCTTGGAGGGCAGCAGTCTGTCGTACTTACTGGTCACTGTGACTCCTCTTACGCTGACGACGCTGAGACTCACAGGTCTACTCAGGGGTACTGTTTCAGCCTGGGTTCTGGAGCTGTTTCCTGGCGGTCCACGCGCTCCTCTTCGGTCTCGACCTCTACAACTGAGGCTGAGATCTACGCTGGTGCCATGGCGGCACAGGAGCTGCGTTGGTTGACCTTCTTGCTCACCGACCTTGGTGAGCGGCCGAGCTCTGCACCGACCTTGTTCACTGACAACAAGGCGTCTATTCTCCTTTGTCGAGAGCCACGACTGGAGAGCAGAGTGAAGCACATTCACGTCAGGTACTTTCTTCTGCGAGAGTTGCAGAGGCGTGGACAGGCTCGCTTTGAGTTTGTGGAGTCCGAGGCCAACACTGCAGACATCTTCACCAAGGCGCTTCCGCCTTGTGACCACCAGAGGTGCTGTGTGCAGTTAGGCCTTGTTGACACTGGTTCTCGTGTTGCTTAGGCTTGAGTGTACTGTTTACTTTGCTTTCTATATACCTCTGTTACTTCTTGGACTGGCCTTGTGGCCACTGTTGTTTGTGCTCAGACTGTGTGGTGACGTTGTGATCCACCCTGAGCTTCGTTTCTTGGACTGGTCTTGTGACCGTACTCGTTTGGTTCTGCTAGACACCCCTCACTTAGGCTATGGGGGTGTGTCAAATGTTGTAGCCTATAGTGAGGTTTGTCTTAGGGGGTACAAAACTTAGGGTTAGCTATATGTACCCCAACCAACATCAATGCATCATCCATTCCTCATTCTGACACCACCATATTTAATTAGATAAATTCCTCCTTCTATATATCTATAATATATTATTTATGTGTGTGTGTGTATGTGTGTGTGTATGTGTGTGTGTGTGTATGTGTGTGTGTGTGTATGTGTGTGTGTGTGTGTATGTGTATGTGTGTGTGTGTGTATGTGTGTATGTGTGTGTGTGTGTGTGTGCGTGTGTGTGTGTGTGTGTGTGTGGTGTGTGTGTGTGTGTGTGCGTGCGTGCGTGCGTGCGTGCGTGCGTGCGTGCGTGCGTGCGTGTGTGTGTGTGTGTGTGTGCGCGCGTGTGCATGTGTGTGTGTGTGTGTACGGCTCTCAGCCGCTATTTCCTTCTCGCTCTCTCTATATATATCCCTTCAACTATCTAGTGATCTTTGTATAACGCTCTGTGACATATGTTCTGTGTGTAACACACACACACTCTCGTGTAAGATCTCGTAACGTAGGATTAGGGTTTCCGTGTTGTGTTCTGATAACATAAGGGCCCAGCACTTGTTGGATAGAAGGGAGAAGAGGGTGGGGGAGGGGGGGGGTGGGGAAAGGAACTTGCGCGTAGATTTTGCGCACGCAAACCTTCCATGGGGAACGCTGCGACTGGTGTGACTGGTGTGGCCAGTTCGTGCGAGAGCTGCTTCTGTTGGTGTAAGTCGCGTGGGTTTAGTGCTACACCTCATAATCGTGCCTTTACACACATCGTCAACCCGGCATACATCTGAAGTGAGGTGATGCACGTGTACTTCCGATACGACTCATAGGGTTTCGGCTGGTTCGGTCGGTGGCTGTGGTGGCGAGTGTGGTGCGGTGTGGTGGTGTGGTGTGGATTGAACCTGGCATGTTGCACCAGCCAGATGCAGTTGGCCACTTCTCTTGCCAAACCCGTAGATACTTTTGGCGGGAAATGTTTATCAGTGGGGTGGGGACCACCGTGGCGACTGGATGCGTATGGGCCACACAGCACCCACAGGGGACACTTCAATCGTGGCGGGAGCTTTATCCCGCCACAGACATCTCGTGCGGCCTTGATTGGGGATGAGTCCTTCATCCTTGATAATAATCAGTCGTTTTACGCATATGACCAACTTTATTTCGCTAAATTCTCTTAGAATGGAAAAACGCTTTGGTGTGACTTTGAAATTTACGTGACAGTTCCTAGTTGGACGTGACACCAGTTGTCACCTCCTGGAAACACTGCTGGTTTGCCGACGTGGCGCATCTACAGCTTCTGACGTCAATCTCACCGTCACTCACAAATTTCAACGGCTGCGATGCGCCGTAGTTTCCTAACCAGCAGATTGACGCGCGACAGCAAACCGTACAGACCGGAATCCGCGACGTGCGACAGACTGACTTGAACCTTCTTCCGCGCTTCGGCATCAGTAAATCGATATAAATCTCCTCAGATCGTCACAATGAATCTTCACCTCACTCACCCGCTCATTCAATTCATATTCTCCCTGTCGAGCCGTCCTCCACCGCATCAAACCAATTTCCAACGCGTCAACCGGACCGTTGCGACTGGTCCCAGCCGCACCCGTTGCTTACCCGTTCCTCTCTTCGCGGAGGGTTCCTCCTCAAAACGATAACAGATGGCGGCATCTATGCCGCTCTCTCTCCGCTTCCTCTCTCTCCTCCTCCCCCTCGTGCTCGCCGCATCTTCCGCCGCAGTTAACGGAGAGGAGTACGAGTCCAACTTCTGTGACCGTTACGTGCGCTACCTCGGGCTTACCTGCCGCGAGTATCAGGTACGACCAGGCGTGCACTACCTTGTAACGGGTACACACTTGCCGGGATGTTTTGTAGCCGTTATGTGCGCTACCTCGGGCTTACCTGCCGCGAGTATCAGGTACACTCCACCCTGCGCGTGTTTCCTTACCTTGTATCGCGTACACACCATGTCGGGGATGTTTTGTAGCCGTTACGTGCGCTACCTCGGGCTTACCTGCCGCGAGTATCAGGTACACTGACCCTGCACGTACTACGTTGTACCAGGTACACACCATGTCGGGGATGTTTTATGACCGTTACGCACGTTACTTTCTGTTCCCCACCTCTTTTTCTCCCTCCTCTCTCTCCTCTCTGCCGCTTCCTCACTCACACGCCCTCCCTCCCTCCTGTCCGATCCCGTACACAACCTTCTTTCTTCCATAACCCACTCTCACTTACCTCTAATGCTTTGTGCTCTCTTTTGGTTTTCATGATTGTGCCACGCCACAGGTTACGACGGTTGACGGTTACATCCTCAACTTCCAGCGAATCCTTAACGCAACTGCTTATAACGCATCCATCTCCGCAGCAGCAGCAACAACTTCAGCAACAACAGCAGCAACTGCTCCCACCACCATCACCCCCACCACTGCCACCACTCGTTCCTCCTCTTCTCCCTCCTCCTCCTCCTCAGTTCCCTACCCTGTGCTTCTAGACCACGGGCTTATACTGGGGGGCGAGCTCTGGTTCGGCCTCTCTAATGTCACAGTTGACCCTATCGCGTACAAGAGGCTGCCTGTGATTCTAGCAAACAGGGGCATGGACGTGTGGGTGGTTAACCACCGCTGCACCGAATATTCCCCCCGCCATGTGACTTACACAACAGAGCAATGGGTGAGTTGGGGGAGTGGGAGAGTGGGGGCACTGGGGGCAGTTGCTGCCGTAATTCTAGCCAACAGGGGCATGAACGTGTGGGTGGTTAACCACCGCTGCACCGAGTACTCTCCGCGCCACATAACCTACAGCACAAACCAATGGGTGAGTGAGGAGTGCGTGCATGGGTGATAGCTGGTTGTTCCCCTGCCTCCCCACTTCCAGTTACCATTGTGTGGGTGGTTAACCACCGTTGCACCGAGTACTCTCCGTGCCACGTCACCTACACGACAGAGCAATGGGTGAGTAAGAAGGAGCATGAGTGAGAATGAGAGCTTGTTGTTCGCCTGCCCCTTGGGTGGGTGGTTAACCACCGCTGCACCGAGCTCTCCCTCCCCCCACCACGTCACCTACACGACAGAGTAATGAGTGATTTGGGGACTGGGTGAATGAGTGAGTGGGTGCGTGAGTGGCCGAGTGAGTGACCGTCCCCTACAGCAATACTGGGACTGGGATTTTGACCAGCTGGTTCAGTTCGACCTGTCTTTAACCTTGTGCCTCCCTCACCCCCACCCATCCCCACGCATCCCCACCCATCCCCACCCCTCACAACCATACCCCACCACAGCAATACTGGGACTTTGACCAGCTGGTGCAGTTCGACCTGCCTGCTGTGCTGCGAGTCGATTCAAGCACGCATGTTCCACCCATCCCCACCCCTCACAACCGTGCCCCATTGCATGCAGCAATACTGGGACTGGGACTTCGACCAGCTGGTTCAGTTCGACCTGCCTGCCATGTCAGACCTAGTGCCATCCGTCTCCACTCATCCCCATCCATCCCCACCCCTCACAACCATGCCCCACCACAGCAATATTGGGACTGGGACTTCGACCAGCTGGTTCAGTTCGACCTGCCTGCTGTGCTGCGAGTTATCACAGCAGTAACCGCCTTCCCAAGAGTGCACCTCGTGGGGTACAACCAGGTACGGCCACTTCCTGTAACCCAACAGGTACAACCAGGTACAGCACCCAGCTGGTCCAGTTCGACCTGCCTGCTGTGCTGCGAGTCATCACCACAGTAACCGCCTCCCCCAGGGTGCACCTCGTGGGGTACAACCAGGTGGGTCCTGGGCGATAATAGGGTGAGGTCTATTGCTATCTGCCTCGTATGTGCACCACTCACTGCCTGACTGCCTGCCTGCCTGCCTGCCTGCCTGCCTGACTGCCTGCCTGCCTGCCTGCCTGCCTGCCTGCCTGCCTGCCTGCCTGCCTGCCTGCCTGCCTGCCTGCCTGCCTGCCTGCCTGCCTGCCTGCCTGCCTGCCTGCCTGCCTGCCTGCCTGCCTGCCTGCCTGCCTGCCTGCCTGACTGCCTGCCTGCCTGCCTGCCTGCCTGCCTGCCTGCCTGCCTGCCTGCCTGCCTGCCTGCCTGCCTGCCTGCCTGCCTGCCTGCCTGCCTGCCTGCCTGCCTGCCTGCCTGCCTGCCTGCCTGCCTGCCTGCCTGCCTGCCTGCCTGCCTGCCTGCCTGCCTGCTGTGCTGCGAGTCATCACCACAGTAACCACCTCCCCCAGAGTGAATCTCGTGGGGTACAACCAGGTGAGACCTGTGTGCTGCACTGCCTGCCTGCCCACCCGCCTGCCTGCTTGCATCACTGCCTGCTTTGTTGCGAGTCATCACCGCTGTAACCGCCTCCCTTCCCCTCCCTTTCCCCCCATCAGGGCGGAATGCTCCCCTTCGCCCTCGCATCCACCTACCCTGAGTACACCCGCCAAACAGTCGCCTCTGTCACTGCCGTTGCCCCCATCGCCTACCTCGTCAACATCACCTCGCCTGTGCTGGACGCCTGGGCCAACAACTGGAGCCCTGATATCGTGAGTGCTCTATTGACTCTTATGCTAGTCACCACACACATCACCCTGTCACCTGCTCTCCCCTGTCAATCGATCGCCTACCTCGTCAACATCACCTCGCCTGTGCTGGACGCCTGGGCCAACAACTGGAGCCCCGATATAGTGAGTGCTCTATTGACTCTTATGCTAGTCACCACACACATCACCCTGTCACCTGCTCTCCCCTGTCAATCGATCGCCTACCTCGTCAACATCACCTCCCCTGTGCTGGACGCCTGGGCCAACAACTGGAGCCCTGATATCGTGAGTGCCCTGTTCTGGCACTCTGTTACCTGTTGCCAGAACAGTACCCTGTTCTGGCTGTGCTGTTGGTATCACACACGCGTGCTCCCATCCCCCACCTCGTCAACATCACCTTCCCTGTGCTAGACGCCTGTGCCTCGCTGCCTGCCTCTCTGCCTGTCATTGCACCGTCTGCTGCTCTGCTTGCCGCTGTGTATCACATCTTCTATTTCTTAACGAACTAACCCCTTTTCTTTGGTTTCTATCTTCCCCCCTGTTTTGGTTGCTTTGGTTGTCTCTGCAGTTCTTCTATCAAAACCATTTGCTCAACGGCGCTTACAACCTCACAGCGTGAGTTTCCATTTCCACGCTAGCATGTTTGTCTGTGGGATTGTGGGAACTATCTTCACTCTTAAAATCTAGCTGTTCCAGGCTCCACAATATCTTTTGCATCAGACCTTCCCCCACCATCATTTCATCTTGTCATCTTCCACATTGAGCCTTTTGTTTTCTTTCTTTCTTTCTTTCCCTTTCTCCATGCCTTCCTCTTTTCCAATTTGTTTCCATGCCGTTTTCTCTCAACTCAGAACGGAGGTTCTTGTCTCCACGCTTCGCCGCGTGGGCTTTAACTTCTACACCGTTTTCACTCCCTCGGGGAATGTACAGGACATTCTCAGTAATGTCACAGGTAAATGGTCCTCACCATCTATCGGTCTTTCTCTTTCCACCACCATGCTACACTACTTTATTAGCAGATACATACAGGGCATGAAAAATAAACTACATCGCTAAATGTCACCAGCACAGGGTACTATCCAACCCTCCGATTCCAAAAAAACTTTCTACTTCCCCATTTCTTTCCCCATTTCTTCTTACGCCTTCCCCCCAACCCCACGCCCCATTTGCTGCATGGATCCATACGCCCCGCCACTCTCTCTCAACCCCCAGTGGGTGGCTACTTACTCAATTCTCCCCCCCCTTCCTCCTACTCTCATCCCCCCCTCCTTCCCTTCCCCCCCCCCTTTCTCCTTCCCCCCCCCCTTTCTCCTTCCCCCCCCCCCCCCCCCCAGGCCCCATTTGCTGCATGGATCCTTACGCCCCTCCTCTCTCACTCAACCCTCAGTGGGTCGCCACTTCTTATCGGGCTCTGATTCACTACCAGCAAGGTGAGCAACCCTGTACTCTCTAATATCTTCACTCGTTATGGACTTTTTGAGGCGGTGTAACAGTCACCCTTCCTGTGGGTGGCCACTTTGCCCTCCACCCCTGTGAGAGTTCCAGCTGTGGGACTTCCTGTCAGCAGAGCCAACACTGCCAACTATGTCTTTCCACTCCCCACAACCGCTATCCTCCCGTCCCCCTTCCGTCCCCTGGTCCTCCTACTCCCTAACAAGCAGAGATTCGCAATCGGCAGTTCCAGCTGTGGGATTTCCTGTCAGCACAAGGCAACACTCATCCACTCCCCACATCCACTATCCTCCGTTTCCCCCCACCCTCCTCCCTCCCCCGTCTACTCCCCAACAGTTCCAGCTGTGGGATTTTCTGTCAGCAGAGCCAACACTGCCAACTACGACTTTTCCACTCACATCCACGATTCTCCCTCCCCCTTCTATTTCCCAACAAGCAGAGATCCGGGATCGGCAGTTCCAGCTGTGGGACTTCCTGTCATCTGAAGCCAACACTGCCAACTATGGATCATCCACTCCCCCTCTGGTGAGCACTCTGGCAATAAGCTGACTCAATTTATACACTTTCTTCTTAGCACCGACGTGCCCATGTTGCTTTGCTGACCAACCTGTTATTTATCCCCCCACCCCCCCTCCTCTCCCCCTCCTATCTCCCCCATTCTCTCTTCCCTCTCTCTCTGCTTACTCTCATCCAATCCCACCACCAGTACTACCCGAGCCGCCTGCCAACCAACATTCCGGTCCTGATTATCTCCGGGAGCAACGATTGGTTCGCCGACCCTGCCAATGTGGCTCGGCTCAAGTTGCAGCTCGGCACGAGCCGGTGGTTGGAGCATGTGGAGGTTCCCTTGTACTCGCACTTCGATCTTATCTACGGCGAAAATGTACATAATGACGTATTCGCTAAGGTTGCTAATTTTCTAGGACCCGCTGGAAAGTAGAGAGTATCTTTTGCAAAGATGTAAAGAATGTTTAAGAAAAATATATGTTCTCAACATCTTTGTCCTTCATCGCACCCGTATTGTAGCTCAGTTACAAGGGGGGAAAGGGGGGGTTTGATGAGCAAAAAAACTTTCCAGTCAATATCAGGTCACATATTCTACACTACACATTGGCACAGCGCAGCATTGACTCCGCACAAAACTCAAACTTGCCCAAAATGTCACTTCAACATGGGGTTTGCTTTGCATTCCATCGCTCCACCAGTCTTATGGAGGCCATGTCTGAATAACAAGTCCATATCTAGTGTCCAGCAATGTGTGAGACGGAATGCAACTAAGCTCATGAAACACCACTATTGCAAGCCCATTGAGCACATAGATTGGCAAGACAGGCTACATAGATTGGCAAGACAGGCTACATAGATTGCTAAGACATGCTACGTGGATTGGCATGACAGACTACATAGATTGGCAAGACAGGCTACATAGATTGGCAAGCCAGGCTACATAGATTGGCAAGCCAGGCTACATAGATTGGCAAGACAGGCTACATAGATTGGCAAGCCAGGCTACATAGATTGGCAAGCCAGGCTACATAGATTGGCAAGACAGGCTACATAAATTGGCAAGCCAGGCTACATAGATTGGCAAGACCGGCTACATAGATTGGCAAAAAAGGCTCAACTTGTTCCCTTCCAAACGTAAGCGGCATCTGAACGCGTACCATTTACATGATAGTGCTGTACATCAGAATCACGTGTGTAAAAGCACAGTGGTTGATAACCCTCAAGCCTAAGAACCACCACGTATGCCCAACACTAAGTCGAACCATCTGACAGGAAAGAACACTAGGTGTACACATTCTGCCACAAGGTTTCCTTGGGTTCAAAGCCAGGTGTACATTTACTCTATTAGCTAGAAATAGTCACCAAAAATATCCATCCATCAACGACATCGCTAACTGTTAGTGAAGCTAGTCACAAACGGTATGGCAGGTGTCGCAGTTTGGCGCCATGCCAATGGACAAGCAGATCTCCTATAGGCCTCAGAGTGTCAAAGCGAAAACCATCAACAACCCTCATGTGAACACAACAACACATGTACGAAAAAAACATTTTCTTACCAGACTATGTAAGCTAGAGAAGATTGTTAAGGGAGTGTTGAGGCGAAGCCTTGCACATCTTAGGTCGGCGATAGTCTATTTGCTAATGCCTATCGTGCCCTCCACGACCACATGATTTGCGCAGCTTTTAGATTTTGTATACCTGGAGTGATTTCCGAATACTTGGTACACTGTTTCCGGGTACTTGGTATGCGGTTCACTCAGTAACAGAGAAGTACAAAACAATGAAGTACTTAACAGCAAAGTGCGGAATATCGAAGTACTTACCAGACTCAACGAACAACACAATTTCGGCATTTCAGAAAGTGGTATGCGGTTCGCGCGATGCAATGTCCGCATTTCGCCTCGAGTCGCGTGTGGAACCGAGTTCGGTGATCATCACCGTCACCAAAACCTTTTGTCGCATATGCACCTAACGCGGTTCGGTTTGCGGTTGGAAAATTTAGGTTTGCGGAAAAAGTCTTCTCGACATTTGCAAGCACCTGAACACCTAGTTAGGTAGAAAATACATCTGATGATATTTTCACCTGCTGTTTCTAGAAGTAGTTGAACAACGTTGAACGTTCTTGAACGTTGAACGTTCTTGCACTCATCACTTTGCGTCCACAATCGTACATTTACCCATCAGTCAATTTAGTCCCTTTAGTGAACATCAGGTATGCGCTTTGCGAACGACACAAGCCTGTTTTCACGACTTCGGATACGGGATACTCGAAATTCGCGCCGATCTTCGACCGTTCAACTTTGCGCGTAGGCAAAACTAGATCATACGAACGCTACAATATCCGTGGTCTTTGTTAATGAGGTGCAATAATTTCTCTAATTCACATGGTCAGAGCTAAACAGATGGCTGCGAAAACACCTTGTGGTCACAATAATGGAGTGAAAGACGGGGTCGCGAAGGACAATGCCAACCATAATGTTCGCGATTTTTGTGGAGCACAGAAAGCTGCGTCGACGTCCCATGACGGAATAAGACAAGGAGAGCCTACAGATCCGAACGCGACGACGAGCGCTTCGATTGCAAGGTTCAAAACAACCATACACATGAAGACCGAGGATCCGGAACCAGACGACGTGGTGGCCAGAATGTGCAAGAGAAAAGGAGCTGGGTTTGAAAGAATCACGCTTCTTAACTGGGCTGGCGTCGAATGCATCTTATCTCGGAATGACGTGGTCACCATCGCCGACAACAAGTGGGTCTCGGACTCGATCATCGACTTCCATAACATGTATGTTCGCGTCGAAACTTTTTGCGTCTACCAGGTTTACTATGTTGACTATCGGTGGGCACTAACTACTTCTATGTGTTCGTTCTTGTGTTCTGTATCCACCAGATTGCTGAGCATCCGAGCCCCAAAGCTACCCAATGGCAAAACGTGGGCTGTTCTTGACAGCAAGGCCTTCACCTGCAGCAATGACTCCCAGAAACTTATTGAGAATGGAAAGGGACTTCCTCTATTGGAGCACGACTACCTGGCCGTTCCTGTTTTCCTAGAGTATCTGCCGACGATCATGCGTTAACAACTGTTGCCTAAACATGAGTGTGGATAAGATTGCTTAACACACGGGTCATTGGTATGTGCGCAGGAATAACTACTCCCTGGTCATCGTGGCCTCACCTATTCGGCTCCTCGACTCTCATGCAAGCAATGATTCTGGGCAGCTTGAGATGATTCTGTACGACAGCATGGGACAACATTCCAAGGCGCCAGAGGTTTTCGACAAGACGAAATCGTAAGTGTACATTTTCAATTTAGCGCACATCCGATTTCCGTACGACGATGTTCATTTCTGCATGTGGTGTCTCAGGTTATTAGCTGTCATGGCAAATAATGCCCACCCACAGGCAGACATGGAGCATGTCGAAACTGTACTGCAAGAGGCGGAGTGCATCGTGATGGAGGTGAGAACACATTGCAAGCTGCACTATATCTTACTGTGTCATGTTGCTTACTGAATTTTAAGCTGGGTGGGCTGACATGTGGGCAGGAACATCAAATCCCTATGCAGAAAAACTCATTTGACTGCGGGATCTACTCTTGCCACTATCTGAAAGTTCTTGTTCACTCTAGCTTCAAGACCGTACGAGATTGGATTGGGTTCCGCGGTGTGAGAGGGTTGCAGTACCGTCGCTCAATCCGCGCAGACATCTGCGAGCACGCCGAGGGGAAGCTGTTGCCAAAACTGGTGGAGCTCGGCATCAACGTCCCTCCACAGAACACCGGCAGGGTGACGGATGATGGGGCTGATGTACAGCTAGGTGACAGTGATGTTCGCGCTAGACTAGCAAAACTGCATACGGAAGTTCAGATGCTAAAACGTGAGGTGACAATCCTCAACGCCAGTCTCGTCGCCATTGGGCAGGTACTTGGGTACACTCAAGACCAGTTGCTAGCGGCAGCCGCGTATGTCCTGCAACAAAGCGGTCCAGGAGGGAGCACCAAGTCTGGCTGTGCAGGTGTTAACACCGCTCCGTTCACACTCCAACAGCCATTGGGGTATGCGGTTCAGTTGGGGTTCCCATGGCCGATGGTGGCAACCATGCCAGAAACGAAGAGGGTGGTGACATTGGACAGTGATGGCAATGCTGGCAAAAACGGCCCCTCGTTTGTTGTCGGCAAAAGTGGTAGTACTCAGCTGCCGCGGTACACTGGTGTGCGTCGCGAACGTGAGACTGGAAAGTGGGGTGTCAAGCTTTTGGTGATGGAAGATGGGGTTCGGTCACAGATTCGATTGGGGGCGTATACATCCAAGGAGGAGGCGGCACATGCGTACGCCGCAGCGGCCTTTGTGACTCGTCCAGGAGAGAGTATACCGGACACAAAGCAGCTGTCGGCGGCTGAAAAACACATACTTGATGGGTGTAACAAGGGCATCATGCGGACTCTCGCTCGAGCGCGCAAGTGGTGGCGTTGGAGACAGTGGCGCAAGGCGTATGAGGAGGAGGAGCGCAAGGGGGCGGACAAAAATCAGATGTCACCGACACACTCAAGCGCTAAGAAGAGGAAGAAGGAGGAGCAAGTGTCTTGAAAAGTGAAGCGTGATGGACTCGGTGGGAGCACGACTATTTCTTGGGAAGTGCACTCAGCCAAGGATGGAATAAAAAACCCAGAGACCGATCAGGAGAGGGTCGTGGACATCAGTATTGATACGGGCGAGGACAATCCCGAATCATCCAAGACTGAGGACGCCTAAACGGAGGCACGCACAAAGATTGTATATTTTCTTCTTTCTTCTTGGTTTGGTCTCTTTCTTTATTTTTGCAAGATTTCATTGTGTATTTTGAATGTCGTAAATGCAAGTAGTGATGCACAATGTTGCATACAAGTGTTGTTTTTGCAGAGAATAGGCGATTATGTGAGAGCATAGGTGCAGAGTTGCAAACCGGACACTTTGTTGTAAACCGGATACAAGTGTTTGGTATGCAATAACGAAGTGAATGAAATTGATAGATTACAGCAGAAACAACATGAACCTTTTACAGATCACACTAACTTGTGCAAGAACGTGCAAGCAACTACTCGAGCATTGCGGTTCTAGGCAGGCACCGCCAGGTGAAAGTACCATCAGGTGAAAATGCCGTCAGGGGTTTTTTCTACCTGCCCAGAAGTAATTGCACAGGTGCTCGCAACACAGACGGTTGCACATGCTTGCGCAATGTCATCACTTCCCTCCAATTCGGTCCTATGTGCATACCGAAGTGCACAGATTTGAGTGTATCCTGCGAATTTCGAAGCTCCGGTATTCGATATGTGAAATCTCAATACTTCGCATAGTGTTGCTACACGCAAAACCAGGCGCGTGCATGTAGGGCTTCGCCTCAACGGATATGCAAATGGTGCGGTATGGTAACGGTATACTCCGATATCAATTTTCTTGTCGTCACGTCCACAAGTTTCAAATCAATTGGGTCTAAAATTGTCACTTGTTGATGGAACATTTAGTGCATACACTTCTCACACATCTAAGGACACATGAACTGTAGGGAGATCAGAAGACCATACAACTTCTCAACTCAATCAAAGTTCGGTGCCGCCATGAACACATAGATCTGGGAACTGTTGAGGCACCTAAATAAAGGGATACAGTACTCTCCATTGTTCAATCAATGACGGTCAGGTCAATCCACAGTTCAATGCATGTGGTCTCTAGAAGCTCAAGCATGGCAAGCAGTCAAACGTCTGCTATCAGTCGAACGTCTGCTATCAGTCGAACGTCTGCTATCAGTCGAACGTCTGCTATCAGTCGAACGTCTGCCATCAGTCGAACGTCTGCTATCAGTCGAACGTCTGCTATCAGTCAAACGTCTGCTATCAGTCGAACGTCTGCTATCAGTCAAACGTCCGCGTTGGCGCTGACGAGAAGTCTGATACATTTGGTGAGGAATACGGTGGAGCCCTATCTCCAACAGTAAGGCTCAGAACCGCACTGCATTGCAATGAGCAACACTGAACCGAAATGCTAGTCACCGACCAAGCTCTGCTGCCATGCACCCTGCATGTGCCTGCATCACCCTTACTGTCTGCTCCACTGCTGCCCCTCCACGCAGAACCACAGCCTGTCACCTACGCAGCTCTGCTGCCATGCACCCTGCATGTGCCTGCATCACCCTAACAGCCTGCTCCACTACCGCCCTTCCCCTCACCTCCTCCCCCCACTCCCTCAACACCCCCTCCAACAATACCATTCAGAACCGCGCCGAATCTCACTAAACTGCACTGAACAGGACCGAACCGTACTGAACCAAAGTCTACCGCACTGGACCGCATCCAACCACACGCCTCTCACCTACGCAGCTCTGCTGCCATGCACCCTGCATGTGCCTGCATCACCCTAACCGCCTGCTCCACTGCCGCCCTTCCCCTCACCTCCTCCCCCCACTGCCTCACCACCCCCTCCGCCCGTGTTCCCTTCACCCCTCTCTCCATCGCCCCTGCTGCCTCCTCCAATCGCCCCTCCACCAGCAGAGCAGTCGCTTCAGCAACGGCTTGCTCAGGGCTCGGTGCTTCCCCTGCTGTGCTTGGTACTGGGAACTGTAGTGGGGGGAGAAGGACAGACGGAAAAGGGAGGGAAGAGGGGAGGTATGAGACTGCTAGTGCCCCTGCTGCCTCCTCCAGTCGCCCCTCCACCAGCAGAGCAGTCGCTTCAGAAACGGCTTGCTCAGAGCTTGGTGCTTCCCCTGCTGTGCTTGGTACTGGGAACTGTAGTGGGGAGATGGACGGAAGGGAAAGAAAGGGTAAATGGGGCTGCGATTGGTACTGGGAACTGTCAGACTGCCATCGCCCCTGCTGCCTCCTCCAATCGCCCCTCCACCAGCGGAGCAGCCGCTTCGGCAACGGCTTGCTCAGAGCTCTGCACTTCCCCTGCTGTGCTTGGTACTGGGAACTGGTGTGGGGAGAAATAAAGAAGAGAAGAAGATAACTTAGTTTTGAACAGCTCTCAACATTTCCACTCGAGCAAATGTGTATACCAGCTCATTCCGCATTTACCTTAAGAGCGACTGCAACTGCTGCCACCGCCTGCGATAATAGGCCTGGCTCAACCATCCCTCCTCCTCCTCCTTTTCCTCCTCCCGTTCCCCCCCCCACGCCCTCCCGCTCCCCCCCATTGGCCAGCAGCAGCATCGCCAGCTGACACACCCTCGCCCTCATGCCTTCCAGTCTCAGCAACTTGAGACTCATAACTCACCTATAGCCTGAGTGTAAACTTCTGAGTCGACTCAAAAGCATCGCCAGCTGACACACCCTCGCCCTCATGCCTTCCAGTCTCAGCAACTTGAGACTCATAACTCACCTATTGAGTGTTAACTTCTGAGTCGACTCAAAAGCATCGCCAGCTGACACACCCTCGCCCTCATGCCTTCCAGTCTCAGCAACTTGAGACTCATAACTCACCTATAGCCTGAGTGTAAACTTCTGAGTCGACTCAAAAGCATCGCCAGCTGACACACCCTCGCCCTCATGCCTTCCAGTCTCAGCAACTTGAGACTCATAACTCACCTATAGCCTGAGTGTAAACTTCTGAGTCGACTCAAAAGCATCGCCAGCTGACACACCCTCGCCCTCATGCCTTCCAGTCTCAGCAACTTGAGACTCATAGCTCACATGTAGGCTGAGTGTGTTACCTTGAGAGCAACTGCTACTGCTGCCACTGCTTGTGAGAGTAAACCTGGCTCAACCAACTGTCCGCCTCCTCCTCCTCCTCCTCCTCCTCCTCCTCCTGCTCCCCCCCCCACGCCCTCCCTCTCCCCCCCATTGATCGGCGGCAGCATCGCCAGCTGGCACACCCTCGCCCTCATCCCCTCCAGCCTCTCCTGCAGCTGCTGACGTGTCAGCACGCCATTGGCCAGCGCGGATCTGGGCAGGGTGGCGGCGATCGCAGTGACCAATGGGTCGTCACCACGTGGCAGGAGGGACGAGACGAGAGGATCCTTGGATGGCTGCGATTGGGGATTCGATTCTGATTCTGATTCTAATTTTGATTCTGATTCTGATTCTGTCCCGGATTGTGACTGTAAGTGTGGAGGGTGAAGGTGTGATTGAGAGGATGTGGCTTTGGCGAGGGGAGGATGGAGGAGGAGAGAGGAGAGGATTGGGTGTAGGGGTTGGTTGTTGTCTGCTGCTTCTTGAAGAGATAAGGCGGCCTGGAGGTGGGGGAAAAAGGGTGGGGGGGTTGAGAGGAAAGGGTCAGCTGTCGACACTGGTTGCTGTATGCTGTTTCTTGGATGGACATGACATTGCCGTTTGACAAGATTTAGGCGCCTAAAAGACAAAAAATGAGGGGCCCGAGAAATTGTCTGCTTTTTTAGGAGGGACATGACATTGCCGTTTCACAGGCGCATGCTAGACATGACATGGAACAGCAGTGCAGTTTGAGAATTCTCAAAAGCAACAGCGGTGCGCACAGCTTCACACACACACACTGCACTGCATCCTATCTCTAAGACATTCTTCTTCACCGCCCTGCACCGCACTGCATCTCACCAGAGCCACTCTGTGCGCATGCCAGGACAGCCTGTCCTCCTGAGATCGATGGAAGAAAACGTCTTTCAGAGCAGAGATCTGCAGAAACGGACATACATACACACATGCACACGCACGCACATACACACATGCACACGCACGCACATACACACATGCACACGCACGCACATACACACATGCACACGCACGCACATACACACATGCACACGCACGCACATACACACATGCACACGCACGCACGCACATACACACATGCACACAACACGCACGCACATACACACATGCACACAACACGCACGCACATACACACATGCACACAACACGCACGCACATACACACATGCACACAACACGCACGCACATACACACATGCACACAACACGCACGCACATACACACATGCACACAACACGCACGCACATACACACATGCACACAACACGCACGCACATACACACATGCACACAACACGCACGCACATACACACATGCACACAACACGCACGCACATACACACAGCGACAGACACACACAGAGAATAGCAAGACACGCTTTGCTCGAGTCAGCCTGAGTTCGACGGGAGAGAACATCCCTCAGAGAATCAACCGGCAGGGCAGAGATAGATGCGCAAAAAGACACACAGAGGGGAAGAAACAGGAGAGGGAACAAAGAGACAAATGCTTTACTTCCCCCCCCCCCCCCAACACCTTCTGCTATCCTCACCTCCCCTTTCACCAGCTGCATCTGCTCCCCCCCAAGGAAGTATTTTCGTTACCATTTCTCCCGTCCCCTTTTTCGGAAGCTTATTATCCCCTCCTCTCCCACCCCTTCTACTATCTCCACCGCTCGTTCCCACCTCTCCCGTTCACCAATTCCATATTCATTTTCTCGTTCTCCCCTCCCCGCCCTCCTATTAACTCACCTCCTCATTCAGCAGCTCCGTCTGCTCCCCATGTGCCTCTGCCGCCCCTGTGTCTTCTGCCTCAGCTGCTGCCATTCTTCCTCACAGCGTTCATCCCATCACTCACCCCTCTCCCTCCCTCTGCCCTGAACTCACCTCCTCTTTCAGCAGCTCCGTCTGCTCCCCATGTGCCTCTACTGCCTCTTCTCTTCTGCCCCAACAGCAGCCACCGCCACCCGCAGCGTTCATCCCAACACTCACCCCTCTGTCTCCCAATCCCCCCTACACTCACCTCCTCTTTCAGCAGCTCCGTCTGCTCCCCATGTGTCTCTGCGGCCTGCCTCTCTTCTGCCTCTGCTGCAGCCAATGCCGCCAGCTGCTGCTGCAGCACTGCCTGCAGGGTGGAGATGGCCTGTGAGGGGGAGAAGGGTGGGTGAAGAAGCAAGGAAATGGAGGAGCAGAGGGGGGGAAGGCTGAATTTGCTGCTGTCTCTGTTGCTGCCGCTGCCCCCTGCGGCCACTGCCGCCAGCTGCTGCTGCAGCACCGCCTGCAGGGTGGACACGGCCTGTTGAGGAGTTGGGGACGGTGGGGGATGGTGGGGGATGGTGGGGATGGTGGGTCGGGCAGGGGTGGAAGTGGATAAACTTAACCTGCCTCTGGCTCTGTTGCTGCAGCACTGCCTGCAGGGTGGATACCGTCTGCGAAGGGACTGAGAGAGGTGGAAGGAGGAATGGGGAGAGGGAGCATTTTGGAGAGAAAGAAATAGCTAGGAGCAGAGGGGTGGATGAATTGACTCTGCCTCTGCTGCTGCCGTTTCCATAAGCTGCTTATGATTGCAATCAGTGCCGCTTCCATAAGCTGCTGCTGCAGCACTGCCTGCAGGGTGGATACGGCCTGTGGAGGGGTTGGGGTCAGTGGGAAGGGAAAGAGCAGCTCTATCCCTTGTGCACTCTAACTATTCTCCTCTGCTCTCCTCTGCCTCTCCCTCTGCCTCGGCCTCTGCTGCTGCCACTGCTGCCACTACCGCCAGCTGCTGCTGCAGCACTGATTGCAGGGTGGCTACGGCCCTGTGGATGGATAGGGGTGGAGGGGAAGATGGCCGGTAGGAAAGGAAAGGCTGAATCCTAATCCTCTGCTCTTCAGGTTCTGCTGCTGCCACTACCGCCAGCTGCTGCTGCAGCACTGATTGCAGGGTGGCTACGGCCCTGCCTGTGGATGGATAGGGGTGGAGGGGAAGATGGCCGGTAGGAAAGGAAAGGCTGAATCCTAATCCTCTGCTCTTCAGGTTCTGCTGCTGCCACTACCGCCAGCTGCTGCTGCAGCACTGATTGCAGGGTGGCTACGGCCCTGTGGATGGATAGGGGTGGAGGGGAAGATGGCCGGTAGGAAAGGAAAGGCTGAATCCTAATCCTCTGCTCTTCAGGTTCTGCTGCTGCCACTACCGCCAGCTGCTGCTGCAGCACTGATTGCAGGGTGGCTACGGCCCTGCCTGTGGATGGATAGGGGTGGAGGGGAAGATGGCCGGTAGGAAAGGAAAGGCTGAATCCTAATCCTCTGCTCTTCAGGTTCTGCTGCTGCCACTACCGCCAGCTGCTGCTGCAGCACTGATTGCAGGGTGGCTACGGCCCTGTGGATGGATAGGGGTGGAGGGGAAGATGGCCGGTAGGAAAGGAAAGGCTGAATCCTAATCCTCTGCTCTTCAGGTTCTGCTGCTGCCACTACCGCCAGCTGCTGCTGCAGCACTGATTGCAGGGTGGCTACGGCCCTGCCTGTGGATGGATAGGGGTGGAGGGGAAGATGGCCGGTAGGAAAGGAAAGGCTGAATCCTAATCCTCTGCTCTTCAGGTTCTGCTGCTGCCACTACCGCCAGCTGCTGCTGCAGCACTGATTGCAGGGTGGCTACGGCCCTGCCTGTGGATGGATAGGGGTGGAGGGGAAGATGGCCGGTAGGAAAGGAAAGGCTGAATCCTAATCCTCTGCTCTTCAGGTTCTGCTGCTGCCACTACCGCCAGCTGCTGCTGCAGCACTGATTGCAGGGTGGCTACGGCCCTGCCTGTGGATGGATAGGGGTGGAGGGGAAGATGGCCGGTAGGAAAGGAAAGGCTGAATCCTAATCCTCTGCTCTTCAGGTTCTGCTGCTGCCACTACCGCCAGCTGCTGCTGCAGCACTGATTGCAGGGTGGCTACGGCCCTGCCTGTGGATGGATAGGGGTGGAGGGGAAGATGGCCGGTAGGAAAGGAAAGGCTGAATCCTAATCCTCTGCTCTTCAGGTTCTGCTGCTGCCACTACCGCCAGCTGCTGCTGCAGCACTGATTGCAGGGTGGCTACGGCCCTGTGGATGGATAGGGGTGGAGGGGAAGATGGCCGGTAGGAAAGGAAAGGCTGAATCCTAATCCTCTGCTCTTCAGGTTCTGCTGCTGCCACTACCGCCAGCTGCTGCTGCAGCACTGATTGCAGGGTGGCTACGGCCCTGCCTGTGGATGGATAGGGGTGGAGGGGAAGATGGCCGGTAGGAAAGGAAAGGCTGAATCCTAATCCTCTGCTCTTCAGGTTCTGCTGCTGCCACTACCGCCAGCTGCTGCTGCAGCACTGATTGCAGGGTGGCTACGGCCCTGTGGATGGATAGGGGTGGAGGGGAAGATGGCCGGTAGGAAAGGAAAGGCTGAATCCTAATCCTCTGCTCTTCAGGTTCTGCTGCTGCCACTACCGCCAGCTGCTGCTGCAGCACTGATTGCAGGGTGGCTACGGCCCTGCCTGTGGATGGATAGGGGTGGAGGGGAAGATGGCCGGTAGGAAAGGAAAGGCTGAATCCTAATCCTCTGCTCTTCAGGTTCTGCTGCTGCCACTACCGCCAGCTGCTGCTGCAGCACTGATTGCAGGGTGGCTACGGCCCTGCCTGTGGATGGATAGGGGTGGAGGGGAAGATGGCCGGTAGGAAAGGAAAGGCTGAATCCTAATCCTCTGCTCTTCAGGTTCTGCTGCTGCCACTACCGCCAGCTGCTGCTGCAGCACTGATTGCAGGGTGGCTACGGCCCTGCCTGTGGATGGATAGGGGTGGAGGGGAAGATGGCCGGTAGGAAAGGAAAGGCTGAATCCTAATCCTCTGCTCTTCAGGTTCTGCTGCTGCCACTACCGCCAGCTGCTGCTGCAGCACTGATTGCAGGGTGGCTACGGCCCTGTGGATGGATAGGGGTGGAGGGGAAGATGGCCGGTAGGAAAGGAAAGGCTGAATCCTAATCCTCTGCTCTTCAGGTTCTGCTGCTGCCACTACCGCCAGCTGCTGCTGCAGCACTGATTGCAGGGTGGCTACGGCCCTGCCTGTGGATGGATAGGGGTGGAGGGGAAGATGGCCGGTAGGAAAGGAAAGGCTGAATCCTAATCCTCTGCTCT